TACCCTTAGGCATTCGTCGCTGATGACGTCACTGTCAGAAATCGATTCTGGAGATGCAAAGTATGCAAGTATAGGTCTTCTTTGTGCGTAGTTACCCTGAGTCTGCCTGTTCGTGGGCTGTCTGATGTCTGTCCGGTCTGTCTGTAAGGTTGCATCAGGTTAGTGACAGCAACACGGAAGCACCCAAAAGCTCTAGCAATGTGGGCATGGGTGGCCCCCATCTGTATCATACCCAAGGCCCGCTCGCGTTGTTCGGGTGTCAGCCGTGGCCTTTCTGTGGTGGTGTTGGGTTTTTTATCAGTGTGAGTGTCTGACCATCCATCCATATACCCTTATTGCACGTGTTTTTCACTTTTTCGCATTTTCTACACACAAATAAAAAACCGTGCCGTGGACGTGCACTATTGTATTTGGACTTTTTGGAAGTGGTAAAGTTTCTATTGGCCGTCAGTTAATATGTTGCCACGCAACGTAGAAAGTAACCGTAATATACTGCCGGGCCGAATTAAATATACACTTGAAAACTGGATATGACCAAAATATAACAAACGTTATAAAATGCCCCTACTAGGATGAATTGAGTGAGTGAGTTGGGATTAACGCCGCTTTTAACAGTATTCCAGTTATATCGCGGCGTGTCAGCTTAATGGTGGAGGAAAGCCCGAAGTGATGCAGGTCTCAGACGTTTACCACTTCGGTGAAACCCACGAGCACAGGTATGGTGCTGACAAACCTAGAAACATAATCGGGGCGAACCGGGATTCGAACCCACAATCATAGGTTTCTGGCGTTCCCAAGGGACGCAACTCTGCAGTGCGAATCGCGGCGCATTAGACGACTGAGCCACCCGTGGCCCCTCCTAGGATGAAAACAATCAAAGCAATTCTTTAATCAAATCCAATTTTCAAGTGTATACTTTCTTTTTGCCGTCATTTAGATGATTACAAAGTATACAGACAGAACTAACATTACGTCTCTGAAATGAAAATATTTTTTAAGATTGTTTCGTTAAGATTGTGTATAATGTAAAAGAGCCCAGGTCTCTTTATTTCAGAGACCAAACAAAATGCTATAATTTCTTTAAATTTCACACGTGTCGCATCCTATTACCCATCTGGTCATATCCCATTAGTTAGACGTCTCATTAGTTAGACGTCCCAATTGTTAGACATTTTTATTTAGGCAATGAGAAATGTACGACTGTCGGTGATAAATAAACTGTAACAGTTATTAAATGTAAAGTGTACATTACCAAAAACTGTCACAAAGTGTTGTTACAAACTGTATAAAATTTATCAAATGTAAAGTGTCATTAAATGTTAAGTATAATACAGTGTGTTATACAGTATTGAAAGACATCACTGAGGCCATTCTCGATTATTAAATTTCCATTCTATTTTGATAAATACCCTAGACCGCTACCGTTTTTAAATATTAAGATCCGGGGTAGAATAGGTCTTCAGCAACCCATGCTTGTCGTCAGAGGCGACTAACGGGATTGGGTGGTCAGGCTTGCTGACTTGGTTGATGCATGTCATCGCATCCCAATTGCGTGGATCGATGCTCATGGTGTCAATCACTGGATTGTCTAGTCCAGACTCGATTATTTACAGACCGCCGTCATATAGCTGTAATATTGCTGAGTGCGGCGTTAAACAACAACCAAACAAATCCCTTTAAGTATGGGTCACACATATACATGTAAACACGATGTATGTTCATTGGTTGGCTGTGTGCTTAGGAATATCTAAGGAGTATGTGTCATCTTATCAATCGTCGAGAGGTGGTGGATCTTTTTATCATTTATGATTTTCTTTATAGCTAAGGTAGGTGATCGACATGATAACATACCTCACTACATTGACTCTTTAGGCGTTTGACCTTTTTACTTTATTTGGTGTATTACACTTTAAAAGGTGTAATACCTCTATTTTAACACTGGTAATTATTAATTACCAGTGTTAAAATAGAGTTATTTACCAGTGTGTAAATAGAGTTAATTACTAATTAACTCTATTTACACACTGGTAAATAACTCTGTTTAATCAATGGTAAATAACTCTATTTAAACCAATTAACTCTATTTACACACTGGTAAATAACTCTGTTTAAACACTGGTAAATAACTCTATTTAAACCCTGGTAAATAACTCTATTTAAACACAGGTAAATAACTCTATTTAAACACTGGTAAATAACGCTATTTAAACACTGGTAAATAACGCTATTTTAACAAGGGTAAATAACTTTATTAAAACCTGGTAAATAACGCTATTTAAACACTGGTAAATAACGCTATTTAAACAATGGTAAATAACTCTATATAAACCCTGGTAAATAACTCTATTTAAACACAGGTAAATAACTCTATTTAAACACTGGTAAATAACGCTATTTAAACACTGGTAAATAACGCTATTTCAACAATGGTAAATAACTTTATTAAAACCTGGTAAATAACGCTATTTAAACACTGGTAAATAACGCTATTTAAACAATGGTAAATAACTCTATATAAACCCTGGTAAATAACTCTATTTAAACCCTGGTAAATAACTCTATTTAAACACAGGTAAATAACTCTATTTAAACACTGGTAAATAACGCTATTTAAACACTGGTAAATAACGCTATTTCAACAATGGTAAATAACTTTATTAAAACCTGGTAAATAACGCTATTTAAACACTGGTAAATAACGCTATTTAAACAATGGTAAATAACTCTATATAAACCCTGGTAAATAACTCTATTTAAACCCTGGTAAATAACTCTATTTAAACACTGGTAAATAACGCTATTTAAACACTGGTAATAATTCTATTTAAACAATGGTAAATAACTCTATATAAACCCTGGTAAATAACTCTATTTAAACCCTGGTAAATAAACTCTATTTAAACCCTGGTAAATAACTCTATTTAAACACTGGTAAATAACTCTATTTAAACAATGGTAAATAACTCTATATAAACCCTGGTAAATAACTCTATTTAAACACTGGTAAATAACTCTATTTAAACAATGGTAAATAACTCTATATAAACCCTGGTAAATAACTCTATTTAAACAATGGTAAATAACTATATTTAAACACAGGTAACTAACTCTATTTAAACGCTGGTAAATAACTTTATTTTAACACTGGTAATTAACTCTATTGACACACTGGTAAATAACTCTATTTAAACACTGGTAAATAACGCTATTTAAACACTGGTAAATAACTTTTTAAACACTGGTAAATAACTCTATTTAAACAATGGTAAATAACTCCATTTAAACACTGGTAAATAACTCTATTTAAACCCTGGTAAATAACTCTATTTAAACACTGGTAAATAACTCTATTTAAAACTGTTGAAAGTATGATCGGCAGCTGAAATTTGAAAAAAACCCGATTGAGGTTGTTTTTTAAACCGAAGGAGTATCCTGGGACTGATACGGTGAAGGGAGAGGTGTCACAAGTTTATGTGATCATATCAATCATCTTGGGAGTTTTTATTGCAATTTGTTAACGGATTGGGATGTGAGAAAACAAATTATTCTTAAAAAGATAATTTATTCCCCAAATGAGATGTCCGTGAAGCAAATGAAAGCAAAAAAGCCCTTGGATTATTCATTTGAATTTGAAACTTTCCGCTTGCGTTATCTACATCGAGAATAACGGCAACGTCTGAGACCTGCGTCACTTCGGGCTTTCCTCCCACATTAATCTGACACGCCGTGATATAACTGGAATACATTTAAGTGCGGCGTTAAACACAACTCCCTCACTCCCTCACTCACTACAACAACGGCAACGACACGGTTAAATGGCTTGCTTCTATTATGTACGACTACGCAAGGTTGTTCAAATCAGTCGAGTTCGCCCCCAATGCAGCATGGGTTCAAGGCTGGGTGCCCCATCGTCATGTGGCTGGGTTAATGATAAAAACGCTATACAATGTAACCAACTCACTCTAACAGATACGAGGTCAATTTATAAACTATATAGTGCATTGTACTTTTCTCTTTTGAGACATTTAGTTTGTATTATTTGGTTTACAAAAAGATTGGCCTAAAATACAATGTAGGTTATAATTATAAACTTCCAAATTAGAACTGCTGCTTATGAATGAAAAACAATCACGAAAGTACGATTGCAAACTAATACTGAATTATGATTGATTGTTTTTCTTATTGTTAGCATAGAGTTTTTAATAAATATTATTCATAATTTCTTACGAACAGCGTTGAATAAAACCCGTGGTAATTTTCATTTCAACTAATTGTAAAACAGAGTCAGTCAAAGTAGAATTGTCGAAAGTACTTTAAAAACTAATTTAAAGTGTTTTCGGCGGGTGGGGGTTCGGTCTTGTAAAACAACTAAAAAAATAGGTCTAATGGCATTCTTTGTCCGTTTCAGAATATTCTCCCTGTACCGGATGCAAATTGTATGGGGGGTGGGGCATGGTGACTTCACAATAATCATTTTGTTATATTGTCTACAGGCCGCCTTAATATTGCTGACGGCAACGTGAAACATTATTGACTGACTGACTGACTCACGCAGTCATATACTCACTCACTCATCTACGCAGGCATGTATTCACTCACACACTCACTCACTCACTCACTCACTCACTCACTCTACGTATTTGCAAATTGGTTTATTGCTTTATCATTCAACCAGTAATTATTCTGGTAACATTTGGTACACTATACACTTGAGTAAATTATCTTCGCTACTGTGAAATAAATATACAAGAAATAAGCAGTGGTTGATGGAGGACTTCACGCCTCCTTATGTCACATGTGGAGATGATGTATTTCCGTCTGCTTGTTTCATGACAAGGGCTTAGGAAGAGCTTAGTTGGCTGATTTCACACAAATCCTTTCTAGAAATGAATAAACTATAACGTGGGCCAATGATCGATTGATATAAACAACATCTATGCCACATGTTTGGAGCGTCTGGTAGCATTTTTTGATCGTTACACGTAAATTACCATGTGATGTGGTGGTGGTGGTCAAAGGGGGGTAACTCACAATGACAATATTTCAAGATGGCGGCGCCCATGCGAAGCATGGTAGTGCGAAGTAGATTGACGAGTATTTTGTCTTCAGTAGAAGCTGCAGTATGTATAAATCGATGTAAGTCCCTGACCTCGTTAGCGTGTTCATTATAGCTGAATGTACCTAATGTTTTGAGATACAGTAAAATTAAACAGCCTTGAGCTAGACATAAGTAGATTTGGTCATTTTCTGCGGTGATTTTCACGAACGGAATATTATCTCGTCATAGTTTATCAGCCAGGCGTAGTTTTACTATGCGATTTTATACGATTGGTGGAGAAGAATTGACACTTGAACTGAAATTAACATAACACAGCCTATGGCGAGTACATGGTGTATCCGTTATACTCCACAAGATCATCAATGAAGCGCTCGTAAAATCAGATTATCGTAGTCAAAATATTGAGATATATAGGCTTGGTAACCTTGTGTCAGTCATAGGGATGTTGTATTGTGAAAATATTGAAATCACCTCAAAACTCAATCCATACCATCATGGTAATCTCGGCAATGTAGCATTTTTACTCCCTGATGACAGTAGACACTCAGGAGTCAAGACAGACAGACAGATCAACCTCTTCTGAATGTAGACCTACATTTCAGGGTGACAGGAAAAATAAGATAGCTTTTAGAACTGTGTCATTTTTATTGCCTCCCCCAGATAGTTGTGATACATTTGGACCACCCTCCTCTTTTCCCCAAAATATTAAGGTTGGGATGGGTGGGTTGTCATATAACAGAAATGTTCAAACTGTTGCTTGCTTGCCAGCTTTCATGTTTGTTTATTTGTTTGTCGTCTAATGCCACACTTGTAAATAATCAAGTCCAGACAGTCCATTGATACGGGTTCGATTCCCGACATGGGTACAATGTGTGAAGCCCATTTCTGGTGTCCCTCGCCTTGATATTCCTGGAATATTGCTAAAAGCGGCGTAAAACTATACTCACTCACTCACTCACTCACTGATTGATAGTGTGAGAAACAACCACTACATTGGGGTACAATGACACACAATCAACCAAGCCACCGACTGACTGAGACTGACCCCCTAACCTATTTTGTCCCCTTTTATGACCAGCATAGGTTGCAGGGGACCTATTCTAACCCCGAATCCCCTAATGCAAGTAATATGTTAAAACGTGACTGTTGTCTTTATTTCAGCTGTGACATGGTGCTGTATGCAGTATCACTATGCACGGAGACATCTCACAACCCAGGCAGGAGGGACAGGATCATTAACACCGACATCTGCGATAGCCGATTCTGCAGCTTCAACCGCACCAAACCAGTCACCGCGGCCTAGCGACATTCCTGATGTTCAGCAAGCCAAAGATCACATGACGTCAGGACAACAACAACGGGATGTTAGCATGACGAAAGGTAGGAAGTACCAAGTGCCAGCGGTTGATGGGTACCCGGTAGGATGAGAGGGGGACTGTTAACCTTCTAGCGTCTCACCCAGCCTGGGTTGTATTCTCCCCAGGCGGGGTACGGGTGGCCTAAGGCGCCGCGATTCGCTGTGCAGATTTGCGTCCCTTGGACACGCCAGAAACCTATGATTGTGGGTTCGAATCCTGGTTCACCACGATTATGTTTCTAGCTTTGTCAACGCCATACCGGTGCTCGTGGGTTTCACCGTAGTGGTAAACGTCTGAGACCTGCATCACTTCGGGCTTTCCTCCCACATCACACCGTGATATAACTGGAATACTGTTAAAAGCAGCGCTCAACCTTACTCACTTACTGTTCTCCCCAGGGAGCTGAGAATGTAAATCGAGTGCACACTGATCCATTGACCATGGATGCCATGCTGGCTGTCGCATGTATTCTCCAGTTCAAAAGTGCCCCAGTATAAATGTTAACATAACTCTTCAGCTTCATCACGTGATTATGAACATCAGCATCACTAATCTCATCACAAGCGACCCATGAAGATCCTGGTTAGAATAGGTCTTCAGCAACCCAAGCGACTATGCTTGTCGTAAGAGGCGACTATGCTTGTCGTAAGAGGCGACTATGCTTGTCGTAAGAGGCGACTAACAGGATCGGGTGGTCAGGTCTAGCTGACTTTGTTGATGCATGTCATTGTATCCCATTTGCATGAATCGATGCTCATGATGTCAATCCCTGGATTGTCTGGTCCAGACTCGATTACATTCGTGACCAACTCGTGTTATTCCGGGACAAGCCGAATAGCGACTCGTGCCCCTTTCGTGGCCATTTTTGCGACCGGGTTCCGTCTTAGCCCAAACGGGCATACCTAAAACAATTGTCAACTCGTTGTGTAATGGTTCACACATTTTCCCCATATAATATATATATTTCAGATGCAATTTAAAGCATTTTGGAACGTGCGGAATTATACACTATGATTGAACACATTTAACTGTGTCTTTGGTATATATATAGATGCAAAACATATGTAAAATCAAAATTATTTCTGAGGGATTCTTTGACGAAGAACTTACGCGCATTCTGATTGGTTTGTCGTATTTTCGCACATAACATTCATCGATAGGGGGACGAGTCTTCTTGCAGGTTACGGAAAGGGGCGAGTGGTGACGAATGACTTGATTATTTACAGACCGCATCATAGCTGGAATATTGCTGAGTGCGGAGTTAAACAGCAAACAAATCATCACACGCTATATTTGACTTGATATTAAAACCTGAACTCACTGTGGACATGTCCTGTGTAGATGGCCAGCACTGGAGGCTCCTCATGGAGCCAGATCAACCGCCGGGCGCCAAGGTGCTGAGGGTCGCCATCATCGGCGTCCCCAACTCTGGGAAGTCCACGCTCACCAACAGACTCATGGGATGGAAAGTGAGTTACTGAATGTTTGGTAGGATAAGAGTGTGAGTGAGTGAGTGAGTGAGTGAGTGAGTGACTGAGAGTGAGGGAATCTGGCTAGTGAGAGTTGATAGGGAGTGAGTGAGTGAGTGAGTGAGTGAGGAAGTGACTGAGAGTGAGGGAATCTGGCTAGTGAGTGTTGAGAGGTAGTGAGTGAGTGAGTGAGAGTGAGGGAATCTGGCTAGTGAGAGTTGATAGGGAGTGAGGGAGTGAGTGAGGAAGTGACAGTGAGGGAATCTGGCTAGTGAGAGTTGATAGGGAGGGAGGGAGTGAGTGAGTGAGTGAGTGAGGAAGTGACTGAGAGTGAGGGAATCTGGCTAGTGAGAGTTGAGAGGGAGTGAGTGAGTGAGAGTGAGGGAATCTGGCTAGTGAGAGTTGATAGTGAGTGAGTGAGTGAGGAAGTGACTGAGAGTGAGGGAATCTGGCTAGTGAGAGTTGAGAGGGAGTGAGTGAGTGAGAGTGAGGGAATCTGGCTAGTGAGAGTTGAGAGGGAGTGAGTGAGGAAGTGACAGTGAGGGAATCTGGCTAGTGAGAGTTGATAGGGAGTGAGGGAGTGAGTGAGGAAGTGACAGTGAGGGAATCTGGCTAGTGAGAGTTGATAGGGAGGGAGGGAGTGAGTGAGTGAGGAAGTGACTGAGAGTGAGGGAATCTGGCTAGTGAGAGTTGATAGGGAGTGAGTGAGTGAGTGAGTGAGGAAGTGACTGAGAGTGAGGGAATCTGGCTAGTGAGAGTTGAGAGGGAGTGAGTGAGTGAGGGAGTGAGGGAGTGAGGAAGTGACTGAGAGTGAGGGAATCTGGCTAGTGAGAGTTGAGAGGGAGTGAGTGAGTGAGTGAGGGAGTGAGGAAGTGACTTAGAGTGAGGGAATCTGGTTATTGAGAGTTTAGAGGGAGGGAGGGAGTGAGTGAGTGAGGAAGTGAGTGAGAGTGAGGGAATCTGGCTAGTGAGAGTTGAGAGGGAGTGATTGAGTGAGGGAGGAAGTGACTGAGAGTGAGGGAATATGGCTAGTAAGAGTTGAGATTGAGTGAGTGAGTGAGTGAGTGAGGAAGTGACTGAGAGTGAGGGAATCTGGCTAGTGAGAGTTGAGAGGGAGTGAGTGAGTGAGTGAGTGAGTGAGGAAGTGACTGAGAGTGAGGGAATCTGGCTAGTGAGAGTTGAGAGGGAGTGAGTGAGTGAGTGAGGGAGGGAGTGAGTGAGTGAGGGAGTGAGTGAGGGAGGGAGTGAATGAGAGTGAGGGAATCTGGCTAGTTAGAGTTGAGAGGGAGGGAGTGAGTGAGTGAGTGAGGGAGTGATTGAGTGAGGGAGGAAGTGACTGAGAGTGAGGGAATCTGGCTAGTGAGAGTTGAGAGGGAGGGAGAGAGTGAATGATTGAGTGAGTGAGTGAGGGAGTGAATGAGAGTGAGGGGATCTGGCTAGTGAGAGTTGAGAGTGAGTGAGGGAGTGAGGGAGGAAGTGACTGAGAGTGAGGGAATCTGGCTAGTTAGAGTTGAGAGGGAGGGAGTGAGTGAGTGAGGGAGTGATTGAGTGAGGGAGGAAGTGACTGAGAGTGAGGGAATCTGGCTAGTGAGAGTTGAGAGGGAGGGAGAGAGTGAATGATTGAGTGAGTGAGTGAGGGAGTGAATGAGAGTGAGGGAATCTGGCTAGTGAGAGTTGAGAGGGAGGGAGGGAGGGAGAGAGGGAGGGGGAAGGGAGTGAGTGAGTGAGTGAGTGAGTGAGTGAGGAAGTGATTGAGAGTGGGGGAATCTGGCTAGTGAGAGTTGAGAGGGAGTGAGTGAGAGAGTGAGTGAGAGTGATTGGACAGTGTTTCCATTTACCTGTTGTAACCCATTTTTTACTGGTAATATTAGGCTTGGACCGGTAATTCATATGACCCATAATGGGATGTCCTAAGATCTTTGTTTAGCGAGCCCTAAGATCTGATTTTAATGAGATTGGAGAGTGACTGACACTAATTGAATGAGTTAGTGAGAAAGTGCCTAAGACTGCGGGAATGAACAAACTCTATTTGTGAAACCCAAGATTGTGGGAATGTGAATGTGGTGAGTGAGTATTGTTTTACGCCACTTTTAGCAATATACCAGCAATATCACGGCGGGGGACACCAGAAAAGGGCCTCACTCATTGTACCCATGTGGAGAATCAAACCTGGGTCTTCGCCGTGAAAAGCAAATGCTGTAACCACTAGGCTACCCTACCGCCCTTGAGTGATGAAAAGGAGGACACAAATTTGTGAACAACTTCCACGTTTATTTCTTGTTTACGCAGCATGTTTACCAGTGTTTGGTGAGCCCATGATATGTTGTGTCGGGGCAGTGGGGTAGCCTTGTGGTTGAAGCGTTGCTTCATGATGCTGATGGGCGGTCGGGCAGCCTTGTGGTTGAAGCGTTGCTTCATGATGCTAATGGGCGGTCGGGTAGCCTAGTGGTTAAAGCGTTGCGGCGTGATGCTGATGGGCGGTCGGGCAGCCTTGTGGTTGAAGCGTTGCTTCATGATGCTAATGGGCGGTCGGGTAGCCTAGTGGTTAAAGCGTTGCGCCGTGATGCTAATGGGCGGTCGGGCAGCCTTGTGGTTGAAGCGTTGCTTCATGATGCTAATGGGCGGTCGGGTAGCCTAGTGGTTGAAGCGTTGCTTCATGATGCTGATGGGGGGTCGGGTAGCCTAGTGGTTAAAGCGTTGCTTCGTGATGCTAATGGGCGGTCGGGTAGCCTTGTGGTTAAAGCGTTGCGGTGTGATGCTGATGGGCGGTCGGGTAGCCTAGTGGTTAAAGCGTTGCTTCGTGATGCTGATGGACGGTCGGGTAGCCTAGTGGTTAAAGCGTTGCGGCGTGATGCTAATGGGCGGTCGGGTGGCCTAGTGGTTAAAGCGTTGCGGCGTGATGCTGATGGGCGGTCGGGTAGCCTAGTGGTTAAAGCGCTGCGGCGTGATGCTGATGGGCGGTCGGGTAGCCTAGTGGTTAAAGCGTTGCTTCGTGATGCTGATGGGCGGTCGGGTAGCCTAGTGGTTAAAGCGTTGCGGTGTGATGCTGATGGGCGGTCGGGTAGCCTAGTGGTTAAAGCGTTGCTTCGTGATGCTGATGGGCGGTCGGGTAGCCTTGTGGTTAAAGCGTTGCTTCGTGATGCTAATGGGCGGTCTGGCAGCCTTGTGGTTGAACCCTTGCTTCGTGATGCTAATGGGCGGTCGGGCAGCCTTGTGGTTGAAGCGTTGCTTCATGATGCTGATGGGCGGTCGGGCAGCCTTGTGGTTAAAGCGTTGCTTCGTGATGCTAATGGGCGGTCGGGTAGCCTAGTGGTTAAAGCGTTGCTTCGTGATGCTAATGGGCGGTCGGGCAGCCTTGTGGTTGAAGCGTTGCTTCGTGATGCTAATGGGCGGTCGGGTAGCCTAGTGGTTAAAGCGCTGCTTCGTGATGCTAATGGGCGGTTGGGCAGCCTTGTGGTTGAAGCGTCGCTTCGTGATGCTGATGGGCGGTCGGGTAGCCTAGTGGTTAAAGTGTTCGTTCGTCACGCCGAAGACCCGGGTTCGATTCCCGACAATGGTACAATGTGTGAAGCCCATTTCTAATGTCCGCCGCCGTGATATTGCTGGAATATTGCTAAAAGCGGCGTAAAACTGTACTCACTCACTCACTCGTGATGCTGATGACCTGACTTCGTTCCCCACATGGGTACAATGTGTGAAGCCAGTTACTGGTGGCCATCATTGTGTCTCTGCAGTACTGCTGAAAGCTGCATTACACTGGACTAAAAACTGTTTTTCATACTTTTGTTTTTACAGGTTTCTGCTGTGTCTAAGAAGGTTCACACAACACGAAGGAATTCAATGGCCGTCCACACAGAAGGAAATACACAGATAGTAAGTGGGGAATAGGTGGGTGGGAGAATGTTTGGGTGAGGTCTGGTTGAATAGATAGGGAATAGTTGGGTGAGACATGGTTGAATAAATAGGGAATTGTGTGAGACATGGTTGAATAAATGGGGAATTGTGTGAGACATGGTTGAATAGGGAATAGTTGTGTGAGGTCTGGTTGAATAGATAGGGAATAGTTGGGTGAGGTCTGGTTGAATAGATAGGGAATAGTTGGGTGAGGTCTGGTTGAATAGATAGGGAATAGTTGGGTGAGGTCTGGTTGAATAGATAGGGAATAGTTGGGTGAGACATGGTTGAATAGATAGGGAATAGTTGGGTGAGGTCTGGTTGAATAGATAGGGAATAGTTAGGTGAGGTCTGGTTGAATAGATAGGGAATAGTTGGGTGAGACATGGTTGAATAGATAGGGAATAGTTGGGTGAGGTCTGGTTGAATAGATAGGGAATAGTTAGGTTAGACATGGTTGAATAGATAGGGAATAGTGTGAGACATGGTTGAATAGATAGGGAATAGTTGGGTGAGGTCTGGTTGAATAGATAGGGAATAGTTAGGTGAGACATGGTTGAATAGATAGGGAAATAGTTGTGTGAGACATGGTTGAATAGATAGGGAATAGTTGTGTGAGGTCTGGTTGAATAGATAGGGAATAGTTGGGTGAGAACTGGTGAATAGATAGGGAAATAGTTGGGTGAGACATGGTTGAATAGATAGGGAATAGTTGGGTGAGGTCTGGTTGAATAGATAGGGGAATAATTGGGTGAGATATGGTTGAATGGATAGGGAATTGTGTGAGACATGGTTGAATAGGGAATAGTTTGGGTGAGACATGGTTGAATAGATAGGAAATAGTTGGGTGAGACATGGTTGAATAGCTAGGGAATAGTTGGGTGAGACATGGTTGAATAGATAGGGAATAGTTGGGTGAGACATGGTTGAATAGCTAGGGAATAATTGGGTGAGACACGGTTGAACAGGGAATTAAGAACAATTCTGTCTGTGTTGGGGATGGAGCGAGGATGCTGTTCAAAAGAAACTATGTCTCCTGCACGAAGTCACAATTCTAAAACTTGTTAAAAGAAAGTTTTGAATTAAGTCTGTCTTGTTTCGTTAAGCTGAGTGTAAGATGATATTAAATCCAAAAAGAAATTCAACTCTTTCTTTGTAATTGAGTGTTTCATTGATTACAGGTGTTCATCGACACACCTGGCATAATGCATCCCATGGAGAAGAAAAGGTACGTCACTACAGATGTGAAACCTGTAATGTTTGTTTTGTTTGTTTGTTGTTAAACGCCACACTCAGCAATATTCCAGCTATATGACGGTGGTCTGTAAATAATCGAGTCTGGACCAGACAATCCAGTGACTGACATCATGAGCATCAATCCACCCAACTGGGATACGATGGCATGCATCAACCAAGTCAGCAAGCCTGACCACCTGATCCCATTAGTCGCCTCTTACGACAAGCATAGCGCCTTTTACGGCAAGCATGGGTTGCTGAAGACCTATTCTACCCCAGATCTTCACGGGTCACTCCTGTAATGAAGTGATTTCCAAACAGAAGCACAAAGGTTATCCCAGAAGTTGCTGTGTACAGAACTCAGTTGCGAAAACAGCCACATGAGATCAGGGAATAATCAATAAATAAGATAATACTTGCCGTAAAAGGCGATTATGCTTGTCGTAAAAGGCGATTATGCTTGTCGTAAAAGGCGACTAACGGGATCGGGTGGTCAGGCTCGCTGACTTGATTGGTGCATGTCATCGATCCCAATTGTGTGGATCGATGCTCATGATATCAATCACTGGATTGTCTGGTCCAGACTCGATTATTTACAGACCGCCGTCATATCGCTGGAATATTGCTGAGGAGGAAAGCCCGAACAAACCAACCAACCAACCAATAAATAATATTCAAACACAAGTTTTCAGTTTAAGATTAAAGCAATACAATGTGTCAGATACGGGGCAGCAGCAATAAGTAACAGGCTCTATGAATACTGTAAGTGTGCTCTAGAATGTCCAGAATATAGTCACTGTCGAATGTCTTGAAGCAGGTCTGCCTCTGTTCATGAATCTGGAATAGTGTCAGACCTGCTTGACAACGGTATAAGGATCTATACTGAAACATCGCTTTTCACAGTATTAAAGAAGTTGTTATCCATAACATTGTGTCTACCTTGTCATCCGTCAACTTCTAAGTAATGCCTATCAAACAATCTGGTATAGTGTAGGCAGCTGGCAGGAATTGGGTGTTCTAAATACGCATCTAATCCCCACTTGGCAAGTAGATCAAACAAAATGTCAGGTCAGAAGAAGGACTCGAATTGCTCTCTTCATGTTAGGCCTGCTATGCCTTCTAGAACCTGGTCCATCCTGAGGTGGATGTGACGTGTTGCTCAGGGTAACCTCCCTTGGTCGTCCTGTTGCCAAGCTCCTCCTTAGCATGTGACACCGTTACACTCTCGGTAACATCGCTGCCACCAGTGTGGAAGCGGCCATTACAAGAATCTTGAAACTTGCCCTCTAACCCCAAATGTAGTAATGTTTATACTTTTGATTATGTTTTTGAAATGCCGTCACAGTTATTTTTGAAAAGGGTTCCGACTGACCATATTTCCCAGATGAATTTACCTTTTTGTTTGTTTGATTGGATTGGTTCAAGATTGCAGACGAATTGGAAAATGTCAACCAACATCTCCTTTATTCTTACTATAAGAAACATGACAGTTGTAATGAAACAGAAATTCAAATTGACAAACAAAGAAAATAATTAAAGTTCTCGCTGCCGCTAAACAAAGATCTGAGGACGCCCCATTGCGGGTCACATCAGAACGACCTTTTGTGAACTTTGACCGACCACTGAAATGAATAACAATGAGAAAGCAGCTTTCTCGAGCTTTACAGCACTCGTTTCAATCTGGCGACTTCCATTTCAGACTTTGCTTTAAAACTATGTTGTCACAGTTCTCTATTAAAAATATTAAAACTGAACAAACGACCATTCCGGAATGTCTTATGGTTGCGATTGTATGGCAATGCTTCCCACGTTCTGTGCAATGCCTCCTTCGTTCAAATGTGTATCCCACGGAAGCGAGAGATAGACGATAATTTTTACGGAATCAGTCGTACGGGCCATAACTGTCATTCAGAATAACCTGTTTTAACCTTTTCGAGGTTGCATGATTAGAAAACTCAATCCGACTGTCTCTTTCATGATCTGGTAAGCGATACTTTGATTGGTCGGGTGAAAGGTCGTTCTGACGTGACCCGTAACGGGATGTCCTCAGATCTTTGTTTAGCAATAGCGAGAACTAAGATCTGATTTCAATGAGATTGGGATCAGTTGGACACATTGTGTATTGGATTACAGCAAAGCAGATGGTTATTTTATTCCTGTCAACAGTGATATAAATGGAATATTGGTGACACAAGCAAAAAACAATATTCACTCAATCATATTATCTAGAAATATTCCTCGTCATGGAAACACATTTCACTGATGTAGTTGGGTGTTGATACTGATGAATTCAGAGCGGGGTGCATTCCCCTTTTTTCAGACACCTTTCATGGTAACTCCACCCTCGGCCACATCACTTTGTGACTTGGGTATTATATGCACCCACGTATTCAAACTCCTGGATCCGCCTCTGCTTGAGGACGAGGAATGTCAATACTGTTGAGTCTTTATTAGTGTTTTGCTAACCTTGGAACTGGGATTGTTTCAGACACGGCCTTGAGAAGAGCCACTTCCTGGACCCAGCCCGGAGTCTGGAGCAGGCAGACTTAGGTAAACAGTAGGGCTCGGACGAGTCCAAATGTACTACCCGAGTACCCACTCTATTGCCCGACCCTACCCGGGTACCCGCTGTAGGTCTCAATGAGAAAGGTACAAAATGTCCGATTTGGAAAAGTCTGCCCTGGCAAAATGTATTAAGATACACGTATAAAACGATCTGGTCATGCAAACACTGAAGTTTATTGCATGAAATTTTGTCTTTATTCAAACCTATAAAAGTCAGAAGTAATGGGTGCATAGTCAGAAAGAAATGGGAACATTAGTGACTTGAAGTGTAACCATAGAGTTTTAGATAAGTTTTGTCATTAAACAATATATCACGTGACTAACCACGGGTCAGGGTAGTCCTGTGGGTACCCGGGTCTTACTCAGCACCGATCCGACCCGGGTACCCGAGTTACCTGTCCCAACCCTAGTAAAGAGCAACAAATGAAAGTAATAACCTATTTATATAGTGCCGAGTTCCAGCTAGTTTGCTCACAGGTGTTTATTGTTATGACCCGTGAAGATCCGGATTAGAGTAGGTCTAGATCGTGGTAGAACAGGCGACCATGCTTGTCGTAAGAGGTGACTAACGGGATCGGGTGGTCAGGCTCACTGACTTTGTTGACATGCATCATTAGTAATCACTGGATTGCCTGGTCCAGACTCGATTATTTACAGACCGCCGTCATATAGCTGGAATGTTGCTGAATTTGGCATTAAACAACAAACAAGCAAACAAAACATGTCTCTAGGTTCCAAGTAAAACTACGACAGCAAGATCCTAGTGTCAACCAAATTATTATCCTTATATTGTCAGCAACTATTATTATTTACAGACTGCAGTCATATTTCTGAGATATTGCTGAGTGTGGCATTAAACAACAAACAAACAAACAAACAAAAAATTATCATTACCCCTGTCAATGTACACTTGAGTACAGTGAGTTGTCTGTGTTTCAGTGAGTTGTCTGTGTTTCAGTGAGTTGTCTGTGTTTCAGTGAGTTGTCTGTGTTTCAGTGGGAGTGTTGGTGGACGTGTCAGACGCCTGGAAGAGAGACCGCCTGGACCCGGTTGTGCTGAGGCATCTCCACCTCCGCCCACACGTTCCATCAGTCCTCATCCTCAACAAGGTACGTGGCACCAGTGGTGGTGGTTGTGTGGGTGGACGGGTGTTAGCTACAGCTATTGCAAGTCTGTGTTGTGACAGGTGTTAGCGCTACAGCTTTTGCAAGTCTGTGTTGTGGCGGGTGTTAGCGCTACAGCTTTTGCAAGTCTGTGTTGTGACAGGTGTTAGCTACAGCTATTACAAGTCTCTGTTGTGACGGGTGTTAGCGCTACAGCTATTGCAAGTCTGTGTTGTGATGGGTGTTAGCGCTACAGCTATTGCAAGTCTGTGTTGTGACGGCAGTTAGCGCTACAGCTATTGCAAGTCTGTGTTGTGACGGGTGTTAGCGCTACAGCTATTGCAAGTCTGTGTTGTGACGGCAGTTAGCGCTACAGCTATTGCAAGTCTGTGTTGTGACGGGTGTTAGCGCTACAGCTATTGCAAGTCTGTGTTGTGACGGCAGTTAGCGCTACAGCTATTGCATGTGTGTTGTGAAGGCAGTTTGCGCTACAGCTATTGCAAGTCTGTGTTGTGACGGGTGTTAGCGCTACAGCTATTGCATGTGTGTTGTGACGGCAGTTAGCGCTACAGCTATTGCAAGTCTGTGTTGTGACGGGTGTTAGCGCTACAGCTATTGCAAGTCTGTGTTGTGACAGGTGTTAGCGCTACAGCTATTGCAAGTCTGTGTTGTGACGGGTGTTAGCTACAGCTATTGCAAGTCTGTGGTGTGGTGTGGGAGTTCAAGTATATCTGAGTATGGAGTTGCAGCTAACAGGGTCCAGACTGACAAGGTCCTGGCTAACGTGGTCCAGACTAACAGGAACCAGGTTAACGGGGGTCCTGATTAACAGGGTCCTGACTAACAAGGTCCTGACTACCAAGGTCCTAACTAACAGGGTCCTGGCTAATGGGGTCCTGACTAACAAGGTCCTAACAAACAGGGTCCTGACTAACAGGGTCCTGACTAACAAGGTCCAGACTAACAGGGTCCTCACAAACAGGGTCCAGACTATCAAGGTCCTAAAAATCAGGGTCCTGACTAACAGGGTCCTGACTAACAAGGTCCTAACTAACAGGGTCCTGACTAACAAGATCCAGACTAACAAGGTCCTAACTAACAGGGTCCTGACTAACAAGGTCAAGACTAACAGGGTCCTAACTAACAGGGTCCTGACTAACAAGGTCCAGACTAACAAGGTCCTAACTAACAGGGTCCTGACTAACAAGGTCCAGACTAACAGGGTCCTGACTAACAGGGTCCTGACTAACAAGGTCCAGACTAACAAGGTCCTGACTAACAGGGCCCTGACTAACAAGGTCCTGACTAACAAGGCCCTGACTAACAGGGCCCTGACTAACAAGGTCCTAACTAACAGGGTCCTGACTAACAAGATCCAGACTAACAAGGTCCTCACAAACAGGGTCCTGACTAACAAGGTCCTAACTAACAGGGCCCTGACTAACAGGGTCCTGACTAACAAGGTCCAGACTAACAGGGCCCTGACTAACAAGGTCCAGACTAACAGGGCCCTGACTAACAGGGTCCTGACTAACAAGGTCCAGACTAACAGGGTCCTAACTAACAAGGTCCTCACAAACAGGGTCCTGACTAACAAGGTCCTAACTAACAGGGCCCTGACTAACAGGGTCCTGACTAACAAGGTCCAGACTAACAGGGCCCTGACTAACAAGGTCCTGACTAACAAGGTCCTGACTAATTGGCTGTGTAATTTGTTTATTCTTTTGATCAGAACACCTAATGATTTTTTTGTTTTCTATTTATATACAATCTAGTTTTGTTTTGCATTTACAGACACAGTTATTGATTAGGTGACTAAAAGTCAAGTACACTGTACTCCCAGTGGTCAGGGCAAGAAAAGTGTTGCCAAGCTTTTAAGTTGAAGTGTCATGACGATACTTGTGCTCCCCAGATTGACAGTGTACAGGAGAAGGAGACGCTCCTCCAGTGTACGCGATGTTTGACGGAGGGGATCGTGAACCGTACACCAATCAAAGCAACACCAATGAGACAACCCAAGAAGGAGGGGATAAACTTAAAGGAGATGTTCGACCGTTACGAACGGGATGCCATCAAGAGGGGAGCAGACCCATCTGTGACAGGTGACCTCTCCAACAGAGATGCGGACTCAGGCGTCAGGAAGCAGGACATTGAGGACGATGAAGGGAAAACAAAGTCAGAACGGTTCAAGAAACGTCACATCCTGCCTCTAGGGTCAGAGGTCAAGGACGATGATGGATTGCCAAATAAGGCAATGCGACAGAAGATCCGTCAGTCTCGAGGCTGGCCTCACTTTGACCGCGTGTTCATGGTGTCCGCGCAGACTGGAGATGGTATCAAGGAGGTCAAGGTAGGACGATGATACAGCTGGTCTTCCAGAACGAGAATAGTGTGAGAGTCAATAGGCGGATGTTGTCTGAATGTCTGACTGCCTCCGTGGCCTAGTGGATAGAGCCTCTGCCTGGTGTGCAGGAGGTTGTGGTTTGATCCCCGATAAAAAAGGATGTCAAAAGATGGTACTTGTTGTTACCCTGTCTGCGATCAGCATTTAGGGGATAAAACCAGGACTGGTCAGCTCAGAGTCTGTGTGGGGTATCCATGTTAATCTTTGTCATGGTATATCAGTGAGCTAGCACCATATTAGGACCCCACCTTAGCACAGACTGACAGTAATCGTCATTAGGGCCCCACCTTAGCACAGACTGACAGTTATTGTTATTAGGGCCCCACCTTAGCATAGACTGACAGTAATCGTTATTAGGGCCCCACCTTAGCACAGACTGACAGTAACAGTCATTAGGGCCCCACCTTAGCACAGACTGACAGTAATCGTGATTAGGGCCCCACCTTAGCACAGACTGACAGTAATCGTGATTAGGGCCCCACCTTAGCACAGACTGACAGTAATCGTGATTAGGGCCCCACCTTAGCACAGACTGACAGTAACAGTCATTAGGGCCCCACCTTAGCACAGACTGACAGTAATCGTGATTAGGGCCCCACCTTAGCACAGACTGACAGTAACAGTCATTAGGGCCCCACCTTAGCACAGACTGACAGTAATCGTTATTAGGGCCCCACCTTAGCACAGACTGACAGTAATCGTCATTAGGGCCCCACCTTAGCACAGACTGACAGTAATCGTCATTAGGGCCCCACCTTAGCACAGACTGACAGTAATCGTCATTAGGGCCCCACCTTAGCACAGACCGACAGTAATAGCCATTAGGGCCCCACCTTAGCACAGACTGACAGTAACAGTCATTAGGGCCCCACCTTAGCACAGACTGACAGTAATCGTTATTAGGGCCCCACCTTAGCACAGACTGACAGTAATAGTCATTAGGGCCCCACCTTAGCACAGACTGACAGTAATCGTCATTAGGGCCCCACCTTAGCACAGACCGACAGTAATAGTCATTAGGGCCCCACCTTAGCACAGACTGACAGTAATCGTTATTAGGGCCCCACCTTAGCACAGACTGACAGTAATCGTCATAAGGGCCCCACCTTAGCACAGACTGACAGTAATTAATTGTTATTAGGGCCCCACCTTAGCACAGACTGACAGTAATCGTTATTAGGGCCCCACCTTAGCACAGACTGACAGTAATCGTCATAAGGGCCCCACCTTAGCACAGACTGACAGTAATCGTCATAAGGGCCCCACCTTAGCACAGACTGACAGTAATCGTCATTAGGGCCCCACCTTAGCACAGACCGACAGTAATAGTCATTAGGGCCCCACCTTAGCACAGACTGACAGTAATCGTTATTAGGGCCCCACCTTAGCACAGACTGACAGTAATCGTTATTAGGGAGCAACCTTAGCAGAGACTGACAGTAATCGTTATTAGGGCCCCACCTTAGCACAGACTGACAGTAATAGTTATTAGGGCCCCACCTTAGCACAGACTGACAGTAATCGTTATTAGGGAGCAACCTTAGCAGAGACTGACAGTAATCGTCATAAGGGCCCCACCTTAGCACAGACTGACAGTAATCGTTATTAGGGAGTAACCTTAGCAGAGACTGACAGTAATCGTTATTAGGGCCCCACCTTAGCACTGACTGACAGTAATCGTCATTAGGGCCCCACCTTAGCACAGACTGACAGTAATCGTCATTAGGGCCCCACCTTAGCACAGACTGACAGTAATCGTTATTAGGGCCCCACCTTAGCACAGACTGACAGTAATCGTGATTAGGGCCCCACCTTAGCACAGACTGACAGTTATCGTTATTAGGGCCCCACCTTAGCACAGACTGACAGTAATCGTCATTAGGGCCCCACCTTAGCACAGACTGACAGTAATAGTCATTAGGGCCCCACCTTAGCACAGACTGACAGTAATCGTCATTAGGGCCCCACCTTAGCACAGACTGACAGTAATCGTTATTAGGGCCCCACCTTAGCACAGACTGACAGTAATCGTCATTAGGGGCCACCTTAGCACAGACTTATGATAGTTGTTAAAGTATTCCACCTTAACAGAGACATTGTGGTATTTCAATATATTTGAGGGCTAGTAAACTTTTGTAAGGGCTAGTTTTGTTCAAGTGGTTACTCCTACTTGTGACCAGTTCACAACATACCCTTCTATTGCCAGTATCACTCTGTGGAGATTTTGGGTTATAAGGGATAGGACTTGAATGATGAGAACAAGATCATGCTTACGTGTGTGTTTGTCCAGGACTACCTGATGTCGTGTATGTTTGTCCAGGACTACCTGATGTTGTGTGTGTTTGTCCAGGACTACCTGATGTCATGTTCGTTTGTCCAGGACTACCTGATGATGTGTGCGTGTTTGTCCAGGACTACCTGATGTTGTGTGTGTTTGTCCAGGACTACCTGATGATGTGTGCGTGTTTGTCCAGGAGTACCTGATGTCGTGTGTGTTTGTCCAGGACTACCTGATGTCGTGTGTGTTTGTCCAGGACTACCTGATGTTGTGTGTGTTTGTCCAGGACTACCTGATGTCGTGTGTTTGTCCAGGACTACCTGATGTCGTGTGTTTGTCCAGGACTACCTGATGTTGTGTGTGTTTGTCCAGGACTACCTGATGTTGTGTGTGTTTGTCCAGGACTACCTGATGTTGTGTGTTTGTCCAGGACTACCTGATGTTGTGTGTGTTTGTCCAGGACTACCTGATGTCGTGTGTTTGTCCAGGACTACCTGATGATGTGTGCGTGTTTGTCCAGGAGTACCTGATGTCATGTGTGTTTGTCCAGGACTACCTGATGTTGTGTGTGTTTGTCCAGGACTACCTGATGTCGTGTGTTTGTCCAGGACTACCTGATGATGTGTGTGTGTTTGTCCAGGACTACCTGATGTCATGTGTGTTTGTCCAGGACTACCTGATGTTGTGTGTGTTTGTCCAGGACTACCTGATGTCGTGTGCGGGACCGGGGGACTGGGAGTATCACAGCAGTGTGGTCACGGAGGATGACACGTTCCACATCGCCAGGACCTGTGTCTGGGAGAAGCTGCTGGATAATCTGCCGGACGAAATACCCTACCAGATCTACCCGGTATGTACCAGTTTTACCCGGTATGTACCAGCTCTACCCGGTATGTACCAGCTCTACCTAGTATGTACCAGCTCTACCCAGGTATGAACCAGCTCTATCTGGTATGTACAAGCTCTACCCAGTATGTACCAGCTCTACCTGGTATGTACCAGCTCTACCCGGTATGTACCAGCTCTACCCAGTATGTACCAGCTCTATCTGGTATGTACAAGCTCTACCCGGTATGTACCAGCTCTATCTGGTATGTACAAGCTCTACCCGGTATGTACCAGCTCTACCCAGTATGTACCAGCTCTACCCGGTATGTACCAGCTCTACCCAGTATGTACCAGCTCTACCCGGTATGTACCAGCTCTACCCGGTATGTACCAGCTCTATCTGGTATGTACCAGCTCTACCCAGTATGTACCAGCTGTACCCGGTATGTACCAGCTCTACCCGCTATGTACCAGCTCTATCTGGTATGTACAAGCTCTACCCGGTATGTACCAGCTCTACCCAGTATGTACCAGCTCTACCCGGTATGTACCAGCTCTACCCGGTATGTACCAGCTCTACCCAGTATGTACCAGCTCTACCTGGTATGTACCAGCTCTACCCAGTATGTACCAGCTGTACCCGGTATGTACCAGCTCTACCCGGTATGTACCAGCTCTACCCGGTATGTACCAGCTCTACCCGGTATGTACAAGCTCTACCCAGTATGTACCAGCTCTACCCGGTATGTACAAGCTCTACCCGGTATGTAGAAGCGTTTATGAATAGCGTTTGAACGAATCCCTGAACATTAGTTTGCTGATAACAGTTTAAGATTCCTGGTTGAAATAAACCCCAGTACCACTTTTTGTTGTAAGGAAGGGGGGAAACGATACAGCAAGGTCACAATATAGCGATACATCAGTCACAATACGATATTTTTCGCAATATGCATATTTACGTCTAATCACATGGAAACTTCTCAAAAGTCGCAGACACAAGTTATTTTTAGAAGTGAACTTTTTGCAATATTTGACTGACAAAAATGCTGGGGGTCTTTAAACGAGTAGTAAGTGCCATTAATATATTTTAGCAAGTATATCGACTTGGATAGATACATAAAACATGTATCATGTATGGTATTGCTGCAGGAAAACTCAAGATGCACAGACTTCATGATTTGATGTTTCCCTAACCCAATGACATAGGGGGCGGTCGGGTAGCCTAGTGGTTAAAACATTCGCTCGTCATGCCAGAGACCTGGGTTCAATTCCCGACATCAGTACAATGTGTGAAGCCCATTTCAGGTGTCGCCCGCTGTGATTTTGCTGGAATATTGCTAAAAGTGGCGTAAAACCATACTCACTCACTCCCCAATGACATGGATCATTGCTCATGCTTTCAGTCACAGATTTGCCTGATCCTTACTCGATTATTTCCAGGATGCTTAGTCTAGCTGGAATATTGCTGACTGCAGTCGGTCAATCAGTCGGTCAATCAGTCAGTTAGTTCAAATGAAATTCCTGACATACTCATCCACATCATCCACAATTCTCAAGTGAAGAATGTTATGTCCTGACTCCGTGTGTGTTTCCTGCAGGAGATCATCGTGTGGGAGGTGGACGAACACCAGAATCTGGACATTGCGATGGACATCGTGACTCAGCGGCCGTATCACTTGGTATGTTGACACAGTGTTTCAAATTAAGCATGCAGTAAAACAGTCCTTGTCATAACCCTAATGACTCATTAGTGTTATACCTCTGTTACAAATCTTGTACTTCCATTGGTTAATTCCTACTATGAGGTGAAACAATACATTTCAGTGTAAAACCCTGGAATCATGTGACTGACCTTGACCTCCAATATTGACCTGTCACATGATTAATATAGACTTGTCTGCTAGAAAACAAGATGGCATCTGGTATACAAACATATGACAGTTTGCAGCTTTGTTACTGTAATGGAACAGAGGAAGGTTTAAAGGCTTCATAAACTTTCAAGAGAATTTCGGTATAACAAAACGAATGATTACTCTGACGAGGTCAGTATACGAAAAGATGGACCCTCGGACCTGACCTCTGAGGCTGTTTGACTACCTCAGGGATCGGGTTCTCGGGTCCTTGTTTTTGCGTATGGACCTTGTCAAGAGTAATTATTTGTATAATGTTAAAGATTTAGTCCTAGTTTCAAAGAGAAGGCCTGAAGGTCTGAATGACCCCTTAATGACATTCACTGTTGACTTGGGGGCGCCGGGGTAGCCCAGTGGTCAAAGTGTTCGCTTGTCTGGCCGAAGACCCGAGGTCGATTCCCTACATGGGTACAATGGGGTGAAGCCTATTTCTGGTGTCCCCTGCCATGATATTGCTGGGATATTGCCTACGTGGCTTATCATAAAGACAACTATGTTGTTGATGCAGATAGTTGTTAGACCGGTCATCTATTATAGAGGGGCCTGGGTCAGAGGGAATCAGGGGAGGGTAATCAAAAAATATGACAGTCTGTTGGGGAGGGTCATAAGAAATGATACACATATTTGAGGAGGGTCATGAAAAAGTGGACATTTCATGTTAAAATATGAAGTGATTTTGCATTTTGGCTTTTCAGGAGGGTCATAAACAAAATGCAGGACATTGGGAGGGTCACCCAAAACTGTGACAGGCATTAGGGGAGGGTCATCCAGAACTGTGACAGGCTTTAGGGGAGGGTCATCCAGAACTGTGACAGGCATTAGGGGAGGGTCATCCAGAACTGTGACAGGCATTAGGGGAGGGTCATCCAGAACTGTGACAGGCATAAGGGGAGGGTCATCCAGAACTGTGACAGGCTTTAGGGGAGGGTCATCCAGAACTGTGACAGGCTTTAGGGGAGGGTCATCCAGAACTGTGACAGGCATAAGGGGAGGGTCATCCAGAACTGTGACAGGCTTTAGGGGAGGTTCATCCAGAACTGTGACAGGCTTTAGGGGAGGGTCATCCAGAACTGTGACAGGCATTAGGGGAGGGTCATCCAGAACTGTGACAAGCATAAGGGGAGGGTCATCCAGAACTGTGACAAGCATTAGGGGAGGGTCATCCAGAACTGTGACAAGCGTAAGGGGAGGGTCATCCAGAACTGTGACAGGCTTTAGGGGAGGGTCATCCAGAACTGTGACAAGCATAAGGGGAGGGTCATCCAGAACTGTGACAAGCGTAAGGGGAGGGTCATCCAGAACTGTGACAAGCATTAGGGGAGGGTCATCCAGAACTGTGACAAGCATAAGGGGAGGGTCATCCAGAACTGTGACAAGCGTAAGGGGAGGGTATTATTTTCTGTACATTGGAGTATCAATAACCTGACCCACCCACCCCTGTAATAATTGACTGGTCCCTTATATGTCATGTTTGTCTGATGTTCTGGGCAGCGCTCCCTGGTGGGAAGAAGAGGGGAGACAATCAGACTGATCACAGCTCAGGCGAGGCAGGAAATCATGAACGTGTTCCGATGTGATGTCCGCCTCCATCTTCAGGCCAGGATAGGCTCCAAGCTGCAGGCCAAGATGCGACAAGGCAGACCCCGGCGACAGATGCGGCCATTCAGCAGGGGAAGACATTCGGGATATGACGGACAACCAGAACCCTAATTTTCGAGTTTGTGATGTTGCTGTACATTTCTTGTATTTTGGGGGCATTTGTCCCGACTTTTGCAGAGACAAAGCAGCTATATGAGACATCTGATGGTTACCATGTGTGGCCTGGCTGATAGAATGTTGTCGTACCGGGACGTCATGGATCATAGCCCGTCAAAAACTGGTTTTCCAGGCTAAGACTTGGTTAATTACAGGTCCACGTGATATGACAGAACTATTGCTTTGTCACTCACTACGCTACATGTGTTGGGTGGTTGGTTGATGCATGTAACCGTATCCCCATTGCATGGATCAATGCTCAACATGTCAATCACTGGAGTGTCAGGTCCAGACTCGATTATTTACCCCCAAATCATATAGCTGGAATATTGCTGAGTGTGGCGTTTGTTTCGAGTTATGGCCGTGTTCCACAAAGCGATCTTAGCATTACGTTAACCATATTTCAATGTTAAAGTCTTGGCGCTAAGTTCACATTGTGGAAAGGGGACCAGGGCATCATTTCACAACGCAATCGTATCGCTATGAATGTTGTAATTCTGTCAAAGTTTGAGAGTTACGATCATCTTTTCACTAAGGTCGCTTATGTGTTATTTAGGGATAGTGCAGGAGCCTTGTGGATGGTTTGTCCATGCTCACATGTGAAGCCCATTGTGACTGGAATATTTCTAAGAGTGGCATTAAAACAATATTCACTCATCCTAACAGTTGTTGGAACTTTTGAATAAGCGGGGCGGCCGGTAGCCTAGTGGTTAAAGCGTTTGCTTGTCATGCTGAAGACCCGGGTTCGATTCCCGACAAGGGTACAATGTGTGAAAACGATTTCTGGTGTACCCTGCAGTGATATTGCTGGAATATTGCTAAAAGCGGTGTAAAACCATACTCACTCGCTTTGAATAAGCGGTGGAACCTGGTGAGGATCCAGGTCAGAAATAGTCTCCACGCTGCACCCTGTTTGTTGTAAGAGGCGACTTGAACTGGATGGGATGGTCAGACTCAGTGACTTGGTGACCCATGAACATCTGGGTTTGAATAGGTCTTCAGCAACCCATACTTGTTTATTTGGAGACCGCCGTCATATAGCTGGAATATTTCTGTGTGTGGCGTTAAACAACAAACTAAAAAACCTAGGCCCATTCGCAACCACAGCTTCATTTTAGGTCTGAAATGAGGATCATATTCGTCCAATCAAATGACCCTCATGGGCAAGAGAAATTCTATGCAAAGTTTCTGATAGGAGGCATGAAGATGGCGACGTCACTCCTGAGTTGAGTCCTCTGTTATCAACAACTGGTTTGCCAAGTCCGGACTTGAACATGTACATCCAGCTGGGATATAGCTAGAATACTGCACAAAATCCTAATAAAAAAACCAAAACACAGAACACATTGCTTTGAAAAAAATTAGTTTTATTTTTCCTGTGGCCTACACGGCAAAATCCCCTGAACATGGCCTCTCTCAGAACGTCCATCTTTCTCATTCATACAATATATAGAAGGTATAATCTTAAATATACGAGGGTGTCATACGTAATAAATGTTACAAATATATACATCAATAACACTTATCTAGAGCTGTAAAACTAGAGTGAGACTAAACATAATATACGAGCTAAAACATACTCCAATCACGTTTGTGTAGATTTATTTCTTAACTGATAAGATAACTAATGCTGAACTTTGGCAACCACAAAACAATCCTGCAGTCTCCAGGTGATCAAGACTCTGCCTTTCAGCAACATTTGCATCACCACCTGTTTCAGCAGCCCCGGCCGAAATGGAAGATTCAAATATGGCTGCTCACAAAGGGAGGTAACTACTGTTTGAGTAACCATTCAGTTCAAGTTACATTTCACCTATAAATGATTTTTTCATTATTTGCACAAAGTTTCCAACGATACTTTGCTCCTAAAAAAATTAGATTGTTATGAATTTTTTTAGATTTCTCAAACGGTTCTATTATTCTCATAAAATGTGTATCAAGAGAATTAATAGTTAATTTCTTTAAAAACCCTACCTCTTCAAGACATGTTTGAAGGTAATCAAATCGGCATTAAAGTCTTTCAATGATACTTAACTTTAAGTATAAAACAGTAGAGGCAATCACATTCAACGATTGCTTAACCTAAATTGAATGAAAACCAGTTAAAATTGACTTCTCTCATTCCAAAGTGAAACTGTATTCTGAAATATGAAGTATTTAATTCTGGTGTTGATCACAGTTCAGTAATTGACCCCTCCCTGACCAGCCACTTTCCCCCTCTTCTGCTGAACCTCCTGTTCAGCTGTGCACATTACTGAAGCACTAGTTTTCTAATTTCATTACACTTGAGCAACGAAACATATCACATACCAAAATCCAGTCAATTCTTGTTTAAACATAAAAACCACATGAACGTTTTTTACTTGTATTTAAAAGTCTGATGATGTTTGTAAATTGGTTATCATAAAATATTTGTTTTTTTTCTCGACATTAAATAAAAACATTGATCCATCGACATACACGTTAACACATTGATTTCAGTAATTATACCAAAATTTCTTCCCATCTTGAAAATTCAATTTCTCTATTTTAAGAGGTAAAGAAATCCTCAGTCTGCAAAATTAGCAGTATAAAATGCTAAAATGATGCCCCACCCACATTCACAAAAAACATGTCTGCCGAATTACTTTAGTCTAAACATGGCCAAATTGCCCATTGTTGTATTGGCGTGAAATTTTAATACAATTACTGCATACAACCATACAAGTAGCAAAGTCCATCACCTGCTTCATTGAGCTTACAGAGTTGCCTCCCCTGTTAAACTTGCCCGCCTAATCTGAAACTGTTCATATCTGAAATACTTTCCTTCGTGAGAAAAACAAATTAAACCTTCAACAGATGGGGACTAATATTTTAATACAATGAAACTTGGCGAGGTGTGGTGTGCTATTTGGGTAAATTACTTGAGAAAAAAAAAATTAGCTTGATACATTTGTAACTTCTTTGGTTACTGATGTCTATAGCAGTATTACTGCAAATACCATGGTTACATAATAATCCTGGAGGTACATTTGCTTCGTAATGCATTTTGTTAAAAAACCTTTTGAATTAATATATTTTCTTGTTTCTTTTTTTTTTTAAGAATAAGTAAACAATTTTCTTCAGGTGAGATACGAAATGAAGTACGGGGTGAGATACAGGGTGAGACGAATCGGTGAGCCCAGATTTCCCACAAACCATCAACATTCACAACTAGTTACACACTTAATAAGAGAGCCCATCCTTCATCGAAGAATGTTGGTATATTTGCGAGGGAGCAGAGATACAATCATATTGGCAACGGAGGGTTGACTTAACTTAAACTCATTAGATTACAAACGCATTGATACTTAAACTTTAGACAATGTGCATCACTTATTTCACCTCACAACAAGATGCAAAGTAATAAAACCTCACGGAACATTTGCTGGGTGAATTTATAGAATATCTTCAGTTTCTGTTACAAATCCAACTGTTGCTGAAAAAATAGCTACACCTTGACACAGATGGAAGACAGGGATAATTTTATGTGTTTACTGATCTGAAAATAAGTCTTCCTTCGACTGGATACAGAAATGTGATATTTGATAATAGGCCAGACTCTCTCTCTTACCTTTAAATTGATCTTTGGTCCAAAATTCAGGTAAAATTAACATTTCACTTACTTCTGGTCGGCAGACAAAAACAAACACTTGCTGTCCATTTTTTCAACCATTCAATTTTTGGAGCAGCAGAACCAAGTTTGTAAACCAAGTTTTAAAAATAGTCTGCCCTTATTTCCCACTTTCTATAACATCCTGGATGAGGAGAGTCCGAGGACTATTGTCTTGTCTTGTCAGCTACCTGTCCAAAATCTTTTATCCTTAGCAAAAGTAATTCTCTTTAAAAGTTTTATCTGTTTTTTCCTTAATAAGCTTTTGATTTAAAGTTTGGTATTTTACATGCATTAATTACATTAACATCTAAAAAGGTTCCTTACTGTGTCAAAAGCAAAGTCCATTTTTTTTGTACATGTGTACTTCTCTGATAGAAAACTGCCTCCCAGCAATGACAGAAAGATCATTAAACAGATCACAAACCCTTACAGACTTTCAAGTAACTAATATTGATGGTGTCCAACTGGATGTTATCACATGACTGTCATGTGATCTATGCTCCCTCCAATCCATGTTCAGGGCCTGCTCAGTGGGCCAACTCGAGTACATACAGGTTGAAAGGTGACCCTGTTCCATGTAGTTCTACACACAATGAAATGTCCGCACACGATCCGTAATGAATCGTCACATTCTGGAAGTCATTAACAGGAGTCACAGCATCAATATGCAGCTGAATTATTCCCAGTTCAGACAAAACCACACCTGGGTAGCCTGTCCGCCCTTACATTCAGTGGAATCTTCCAACCAGGTACACATTTCCACAGTTTGGTCTTTCAGGGCAAAACAAGAGTCATGGACTTTTCCACTGCCCATATTCCAGTGAGAGATCCATTGTTCCATTTTCTTGAATAACCTCTGTTAAATGGAATGGAATCTTCTGCTGTATGGTTATGCATTAATGATCTCTTCCATGTAATGAAATCATCTACCCAAACCATAAGAGACAAACCATTCCATTTTTAAGGAAGACATTTCGGTAACAATGCCATTGATGCTTTGATGATATCATCCAAAAACAAGGGCCATGCCATTTTATATGATTTCGGCCTTAACCCCCCCCTGAAACACAAAATGGAATCCTCCAACATCCATCCACTCACACAATGGTTGGACTGTTCCACTTCCGAAGTATGGGGGTCAGGTACACAAATAAATAAACTTAGTAACTGGCCACAACACAAAACACACTGAATGTCGAGTGGAAGAAACAACTCCATAAAGAGTCCTGTCTCTTGTACACAGTTGTGTTGGAGTCGTATAAATATAAATAAACAAGTAAAGCCATCTACTCCAGGCAGTCCCTCAGCACTCCATGACGACCAGCTATATAAGTCCCATCAGTCTCCATCCGCCACAAATAGTCTTTCAATTTCACAGTTTACTGAATGTCTCAAGAAATGACTTCATTCCAAACCGCTGTATGTTGGTACCATCCTTAAAATATTAAAATCCAACTATCAAATGGATTGTCTTACTTCTCCTCAAAATGCCCAAAATGAAATATGAAAGCATGAATTGGGACTGAATGATCTCCATGTGAAAAAAACTCTCTCTAAAATATTATCTTTGTAAAATGCTTTTTTCACATGACAATATGGGAGGATGATATATGATAAATGTGTCTCCATTAAAAGACAGCATGAGTTATTGGCATGACAACGCAGATCATTCTGGTATTTCTGTGGTTATTTTCACATCAATGCAAGAGTTACTCCCCTTCTTTGAGAGTTGTCTCCCTTTGCATTTTCTACCATTTGAATTCTGGCCACTCTTGGCAAGCTTCATCACATGAAGGTGTCGCTCATCTTCTTTCAGTCTTTAACAATCCTTCTTGTTTTAATGTACCATTAGAAGGTCACCTCCTGTATGACGGCGACTGCCATTAATGAATATATGTATTATGAATAGCTGGTGATCCCACTATACTTCAATGTTTTTGGGCTGCACAGACACAATGAACGGTTCATGCCACATCCTTCTCAGGTCCCCCTGAAATGGCAGACAAAAACATAATATTACATTTTTTGTTTAACAGGACTCAATGGATAGTTGCCCGCTTATATTTCTTAGTCTAGACCTTGTACTTAGTGCATTGTGTGAAACCAACACCTTGTGATAGCAGACAACATGCAGTGTTTGAATGATATGAATCAATTACCGTATTCAACGTAATAAGCGCCCACGGCAATATTTGCAAATATATTGGCTAGTGAACAATCCGAATTAGCACCCCTTCCGATTGATCAATGTACAAAAGACTTATTTATTCGCGTATAATACGCACTCGTGTGTTATATGCACCCTTAATTATGGGAAATTAAATTCTGGAAAAATATATGTCGCATATAAACATTTCAGGCTGTCAGCATAAACCACAAAATTTATCTTTCAACTCTGTTTTTTCACCAAAATAATATTCTAATAAGAGCCCCCTATTTCTAATTTTGAGAGCGCCCTGGGCGCTTATTACGTCGAATAAGGTATTGCAAGTTTGGTTTTACGCCATTTTTAGGAATATTTCAATATTTCAATTTCTCTCGTCATAAGAGGCTAGCTGACCCGGTTGATGTACATCATTTTATCCCAGTTTAGTAGATCGATGCTCATGATGTCAATCACTGGATTGTCTGGTCCAGATTCGATTATTAACAGACTGCCGTCATATAGCTGGAATATTGCTGAATGCGGCGTTAAACAGCAAAGAAACAAAACAAGCCAACTAAGAGCAGTATTTCCCTGTGGTATTTACCTTCAGGTATGCCATACACAGTAGTGGAAGCAGAGTGAACGGCACCAGGTATAACAGAGCCGGCTGGGCAGCCTTAAATAACTCCGAGGACACAGTGGCCGTCAACAATCCTGAATGTACACAAACATAACATATAATATTCACATAATATTCATATAATATTAACACTTCACATAATATTCACATAATATTCAAATAATATTAAAAAAATATTTTTAAAATATTCAAACAATATTCAAATAATATTCATATAATACCAACAAAATATTCATAAAATAATCATGCATAATAATAAATTGAATTAGACTCAACAAAGGGTTACAAATCGTAAAAGTTCTCACTCGGTGAAGCATGAGTGCCCGCAAACATATGAATCACAATCAGGGCAATCTTGGATCTGAACCCACAATCACAGGATGCTGTTACACTAATGGGAGGCAACTCCGTATATTGAGGTACTGCAAGCACTGATTCCACAATAACTGGGACAACCTCAGGTGTCTCCAATTTCTTAGATCCAGGAAAGGTGGGTTGTCCTGCTGAGGTAAGGTTTTGGTCTTATAAAGAGGAAGGAGTGGGGTGTTATATGAGGAATGGGTGGTCAGTTATACCAGGGTAAAGGAGTGAGTGAGCGAGTGAGTTGGGTTTAACACCGCTTTTAACAGTATTCCAGTTATATCGCAGCTTAATGTGGGAGGAAAGCCTGAAGTGATGCAGGTCTCAGAGGATGGATGTCATGACGAGGAAGGGTTGGGGTGTCACCTCATCGAAGGGTCAAGGTGTTATGTTGTGTTAAGGGAGGGACGTTATATCGAGGGAGGGACGTTATATCGAGGAAGGGACAGTGTTATATTGGGATAAAGGTGGGAGCTATATCAAGGTAGGGGCTGGATGTTATATGGAGGAAGGGATAGGGTGTAATAATGGGTTTAAGGTGGGATGGCATATAGAGATAGGGGAGGGACGTTATATCAAGGAAGGGATAGAGTGTTATAATGGGGTAAAGGTGGGGTGTCAACTCACCTAAAAAGTATCCTAAAAGGGAGCAGTGAAAGTAGGTGATCTTCTGCACATAAGTGGGAGGGGGCGGCACGCCAGCCTCTGCCGAACTGATCTGGGCTTTCTTGTATGCATCGTATCGAAGAACAAAACACAGCAACAAGCCCGGCATCACCTGCAACAACAGATCATTTTACAACATTGCTGACAAATTTCTGTTAGATAGGGTAGACAAAATGTCTTTTGTTTCAGGTTTTTTTTATGCCACAGTCCTTGACAGATAATAAAAGCAGATTCATTCCAGAACTGACATTTGTACTTTTACACAATCCTACTGTCAATACTTACAATGTCTCCCAGGCCAAGCATTGAAAAATGACTAGAATTTTGCGTGCTGAAAGGAAAAATGTTGATATGTAAACTACAACCATGATCAATGACATGTATTCACACTGTATACTATATATTTGTATAATTCATTGTAAACGCTTGTTATTACACATCTTATGACAAAACGCTTGTTATTACACATCTAATGACAAAACGCTTGTTATTACACATCTAATGACAAAACGCTTGTTATTACACATCTAATGACAAAACGCTTGTTATGACACATCTAATGACAAAATGCTTGTTATTACAATCTAATGACAAAATGCTTGCTATACACATCTAATGACATGATAAATATGGATAATATTAGACTTGTTCACCTTATTTTTTCATAAAACTGTTATTAAAACTGTAGTTAAACTATTATTATTATACAGCCTTGCAGGTATATTATAATGACAAATGGAGCCAGTGCCAGTCTATGATAATACCAGTCTTGCAATCAGTGCTGTTACCTTGGAAACACTAATTTGGCGGGCAATGACAATTTAGGAGCATCTCGAACCAGACCCGTTAAGTGAAGCTTCTTGGCAAATAGGCCCACCTGCAAACAGAATCACAGATGAACGACAAGGTTCATGGTCAGCTAAAACATGCAGCTAAAACATGTACAATGTGCTATCCCTACACAATCGAGTGAGTGAGTTGGGTTAAATAACGCTGTTTTTAACAATATTCCAGTTATATCACGGCGTGACAGCTTAACATGGGAGGTAAGTCTCAGACGTTTACCACTTTGGTGAAACCCATGAGCATGGGTATGGTGCTGACAAACCTAGAAACATAACCGGGATGAACCCAGTTTCGAACCCACAATCATAGGTTTCTGGCGTGCTTAAGGGACGCAGCCTCTGCACAGCGCCTTAGATGACTGGGCCACCCGTCACACACACAAGGTCTCTAACACTGGCCTCACAAACTATTATTCTGTACATATATTTCTTACGTTCACTTCATTACTGCATTATGGGTAATATGATTGCAAGATGAGTGATTAAAAGTGTTTTGAATTGGCTCGAAACATTAAAAAGTTCAAGGGCCTTAAAAGTGAGTGTGGGTAAGTATTGTTTTACGCTGCTTTTAGCAAAATCATAGCAGGGGACACCAGAAAAGGGGTTTCACACATTGTACTCATGTGGGGAATCGATTACTTGACGAGGGATCACTTTACCCACTTGGCTACCCCACTGCCCCCCTACCTTAAGAATCTGTGCCCTGTACATGACACTTGTGTCTTATTAACAAAGACACCAAGGAAGGTACAATGACACACAATCAAGTGATGGAGCCTGACCACCCGATCCATCTCGCCCTCCTTAACGACAAGTACAGGCTGCTTGGGACTGTGTTCTAAATCTGAATCGTCACAGGATGGACACACAGACACTAAAGGCAAAATTGAGTTCAGAACTATGCCTACTCCTGATGACTCTTTGTATTGTCACCTCATACAACAAACAGGTTGCTAGATAGAGTTCCACAGCTTATTAAGATGTAGTAACACTGTTTGAGAGTCACTTTATCAAATATTTCAGTTTTGTTTGTTTGCTGTATGACACCGCAACCAGCAATATTCCAACCATATGACGGCGGTCTGTAAATAATTGAGTCTGGACCAGACAATCCAGTGATTGATATCATGACAATCGATCCACGCAATTAAGATACAATGACATGCATCATCCAAGTCAGCGAGCCTGACCACCCGATCCCGTTAGTCACCTCTTACGACGAGCATCAGTTGCTGAAGATCTATTCTAACCCGGATTTTTCACGGGTCTTCTCGGGCTTAGGCCCTGCCTAACGCTGAAGCACATGTAACACACGTGGTATCTCCTCCGGCAAGTGATTTTGTGCGAAATGTGCCCTGTTCACTCAGCAGTGAATGGGTACCTGGTAGGATGAGGTGGTAATGTGACCTTACCCTTCTAGTGCCTCACAGGCAGTTTGGGTTGTGTACTCCCCAGGGAGCTGAGAATGAAATTGAGTGCACATCGATCCACTGACCAGGGAAATAATGTAGCACTGTCAGCATGTTTAAGGGAGTGGATTTGGCGCATGATAAATATAATAATTTGGAGCAGATGTCTCAGTCTACTTACTGGGTTTTCAGCGGGTCTGGTTGCGACTTTGACCATAACATTGGCACTAAATATATAGGAAGAGAAGAACACCTGAAACAGAGCAACATCATCAGTGAGTGAGTGAGTGAGTGAGTTTGGTTTTACGCCGCTTTTAGCAATATTCCAGCAATATCACGGCGGGGGACACCAGAAAATGGGCTTCACACATTGTACCCATGTTGGGATTCGAACCAGGGTCTTCGGCGTGACAAACGAACACTTTAACCACTAGGCTACCTGACCGCCCCTCAACATCATCAGTATTCGGGAAATATTACATGATCATATACTACTCAAAAAAAGTTGAGGACCCCCCGATTTGTTTATATCACTATGGTTAATTTGTCATGGCAATATGTAACATGAAAGAACTCTAGGCGCCATGAAAAGTACTCGGTTACATTACATTATGATATACTATTCAAAAGAAGTCAAGGAACACCCAATTTGTTCATATTACCATGGATAATCACATGGCATGACAGATTAACTACAGTCATATGAAAGAACTCGTGGCACCGCGATTGAGCCAAGAAAAGTAGGTGTGAAATAACAAGAGTAGAAATTATAGGCCTTGATATAGGTTATGGACACTCTTGCCTCGGGAAGATGGTCTACGAAGAATCCAAATGCGTTTCGGTTTTTCCACCTACCCAGAATACATCATAAACTAGAAGACCGACGAGCAGCAGCGTGGACACTTTGAGACTCGGTAGCCGCACCAGGGCGATGAACGCCACGCACAGACCCATCCCCAGTGCTGAAACATGGGGAAGATTTCAAACATTAACTACCAGGTCCATTCGCTGCGAAGGTATTGTCAAACATTTACTACCAGGTCCATTCACTGCTAAGGTACTGTCAAACATTTACTACCAGGTCCATTCCTGCGAAGGTATTGTCGATCATTTACCAGGTCCATTCACTGCGAAGGTACTGTCAAACATTTACCAGGTCCATTCACTGCGAAGGTATTGTCAAACATTTACCAGGTCCATTCACTGCGAAGGTATTGTCAAACATTTACCAGGTCCATTCACTGCGAAGGTATTGTCAAACATTTACCAGGTCCATTCACTGCGAAGGTATTGTCAAACATTTACCAGGTCCATTCACTGCGAAGGTACTGTCAAACATTTACCAGGTCCATTCCTGCGAAGGTACTTTCAAACATTTACCAGGTCCATTCACTGTGAAGGTACTGTCAAACATTTACCAGGTCCATTCACTGCGAAGGTACTGTCAAACATTTACCAGGTCCATTCACTGCGAAGATACTGTCAAACATTTACCAGGTCCATTCACTGTGAAGGTATTGTCGAACATTTACCAGGTCCATTCACTGCGAAGGTACTGTCAAACATTTACCAGGTCCATTCACTGCGAAGGTATTGTCAAACATTTACTACCAGGTCCATTCAATGCGAAGGTACTGTCAAACATTAACTACCAGGTCCATTCACTGCGAAGGTATTGTCGAACATTTACTACCAGGTCCATTCACTGCGAAGGTATTGTCAAACGTTTACTACCAGGTCCATTCACTGCGAAGGTACTGTCAAACATTTACCAGGTCCATTCCTGCGAAGGTATTGTCAAACATTTACTACCAGGTCCATTCACTGCAAAGGTACTGTCAAACATTTACTACCAGGTCCATTCACTGCGAAGGTACTGTCAAACATTTACCAGGTCCATTCACTGCGAAGGTACTGTCAAACATTTACCAGGTCCATTCACTGCGAAGGTATTGTCGAACATTTACTACCAGGTCCATTCACTGCGAAGGTACTGTCAAACATTAACTACCAGGTCCATTCACTGCGAAGGTATTGTCAAACATTTACCAGGTCCATTCCTGCGAAGGTACTGTCAAACATTTACTACCAGGTCCATTCACTGCGAAGGTACTGTCAAACATTTACTACCAGGTCCATTCACTGCGAAGGTACTGTCAAACATTTACCAGGTCCATTCACTGCGAAGGTACTGTCAAACATTTACCAGGTCCATTCACTGCGAAGGTATTGTCGAACATTTACTACCAGGTCCATTCACTGCGAAGGTACTGTCAAACATTAACTACCAGGTCCATTCACTGCGAAGGTATTGTCGAACATTTACTACCAGGTCCATTTACTGCGAAGGTACTGTCAAACATTTACCAGGTCCATTCCTGCGAAGGTATTGTCAAACGTTTACTACCAGGTCCATTCACTGCGAAGGTATTGTCAAACATTAACTACCAGGTCCATTCGCTGCGAAGGTATTGTCGAACATTTACTACCAGGTCCATTTACTGCGAAGGTACTGTCAAACATTTACCAGGTCCATTCACTGCGAAGGTACTGTCAAACATTTACCAGGTCCATTCCTGCGAAGGTACTGTCAAACATTTACTACCAGGTCCATTCACTGCGAAGGTACTGTCAAACATTTACTACCAGGTCCATTCACTGCGAAGGTACTGTCAAACATTTACCAGGTCCATTCACTGCGAAGGTACTGTCAAACATTTACCAGGTCCATTCACTGCGAAGGTATTGTCGAACATTTACTACCAGGTCCATTCACTGCGAAGGTACTGTCAAACATTAACTACCAGGTCCATTCACTGCGAAGGTATTGTCGAACATTTACTACCAGGTCCATTTACTGCGAAGGTACTGTCAAACATTTACCAGGTCCATTCCTGCGAAGGTATTGTCAAACGTTTACTACCAGGTCCATTCACTGCGAAGGTATTGTCAAACATTAACTACCAGGTCCATTCGCTGCGAAGGTATTGTCAAACATTAACTAACAGGTCCATTCACTGACTATTTACTGCAGTGAATTTTAATTACATCCATTCAAGCCATATTAGGGCAAGTTTCAAGCAAGTAGCAGACAATAAAGTGACTAATTTTGTAATAACAAAAGAAAAAAAAGGCAATATACTGTTATTTTTGTTGTAATGTCAGTGAATGATAGAGCAGTATCAGAGTAGGAGTTCCAAATAACGAAGGAAGTACTGACCGTCCATGAGGAGCCAGTGCCCGGTGAGGATCCAGACACACACGATGAAGAAGGACATGCAGAAGGACACGATCTCCGCGGCCGTGAACCGACCACAACACCCAAATGAAATTCTGAAAGTAGACAAACAACACTTAATCCAACTTCCCGTCATACTATATCCTCCAGTGGTCAGAATGTGCTCGGATCTGAGGCGAGAGTGTGGACTTTCAAGTTACAAAATGAGTGGGTGAGTGAGTTGGGTTGAGCGCCACTTTTAACAGTATTCCAGTTATATCACGGCTTAATGTGGGAGGAAAGCCCGAAGTGATGCAGGTCTCAGACGTTTACCACTTCGGTGAAAACCACGAGCACGGGTATGGTGCTGACAAACCTAGAAACATAACCGGGGCGAACCGGGATTCGAACCCACAATCATAGGTTTCTGGCGTGTCCAAGGGACGCAACTCTGCACAGCGAATCGCGGCTCCTTAGACCACTGGGCCACCCGTGCCCCCATTTACAAAATGAGATTCCATTAACAGACTCAGTGCTGGTCCTTATACAGAGGGGCCTTGGGATGGTGGATCTTTAAGACTGATAACGGAGATCATATAACCAAGCAAAAACTGCTGTGTAACAAAGTAGTCAGTACTTGACAAGGTATTTCACTGATTAACATGCTTGTGACATGCTACTAATATTTAACTGTTCAAGATGATTAATTATCATAGACATAAAAATTACACTGCTAACTATTGTGAGAATTTGTTCATCACTTTGTTTTTCACAATATGTTTGTTTGTTGTTTAATGCTGCGCTCAGCAATAATCCAGCTATATGACGGCAGTCTGTAAATAATAGAGCCTGGACCAGACAATCCAGTGACTACGCAATTGGGATACGATGACCTGCATCAACTAATTCAGCAAGCAAGTGATCATTCCTAAATAGAGGCTAATTTGAATGAGTGAATATTGTTTAAAGCAGCAGTCTTTTTCGAAAGAGTCACGATAAAAAAGTGTGTCAACTGGTTGTTTCAAGCTCATGAGAAAAGAGAAATTTTGTGCAAAGTTTGTGAAAAGTTGCTGGCATCAATTCCGAAATGAAACAATGGTGGTGAATATGTCCATGATATATATGTGATAATGCAATGGAGTGAGTGAGTGAGTTGGATTTAACGCCGCTTTTAACAGTATTCCAGTCGCCGAAATGAAACAATGGGGGTGAATATGTCCATGATATATATGTGATAATGCAATGGAGTGAGTGAGTGAGTTGGATTTAACGCCGCTTTTAACAGTATTCCAGTCATATCGCGGCGTGTCAGCTTAATGTGGGAGGAAAGCCTGAAGTGATGCAGGTCTCAGAAGTTAACTACTTCGGTGAAACCCTAATGCAATGGAGAGTGCAGTCAGCGATATTGCATCTTTTTTTGAGGAGTCCTGGAGCCTTGACTTACTTCTGTCCACTTGAGCAGGGCTGGATGACGTACTGACACATCGGCAGCAGCAGGAAGGCGAAGGCTACCGTGGCAAGGACTGAAACAAAGACAGTCACATTAGGGGGGACTGGCAAACACTTCATCCACTAGCCTACCCTTAGCGTGAAGAGAGCCCAATGTGGTGCAGGTTCCAGGAAATAGCAAAATATACATCAGCAAAAAACGAAAACCATGTCCATCCACCCTAATAATTGTTGGTCTGACCCCCGTCTAAAAATATTCAAAACCAAATTACTTTCAATAAACTTGCATAGAGAAGCACATGTATTAAATGAAAAACCCATAATGTATAAATACCCAATAAAGCTTTTTCAGCATGCATACAAAGGAGCTAATTTCTTAAACACATTAACAAGCTAATTTATTTTCCGAGTCATATATTTAGAACACTTATATACATCAAAAACATTATTATATTTTTAAAAATCTTAAATTGATCACTAATTTGGGAATTTGATAGAGTGATGAACAGATGAGTGAAAAATGTAATAACCCAATTAAGATAGAAACTCTTGAGCATGTTGAGTAAAAAACTCAATTTTCAAAAAGTTATCTGGAGCTCTGCCTCTGTTAGTACAATTGAGAAGACAGCGGTCATACAGCCTGGAGCAGGTAAACCAGGTGATGACCTAAACTCATTACATGATCCAAGTGAGTGCATTACCATAGCTACCTTTTCTTACTTCACCTAGACTTGTGTGATCTGTGACCTGAACGGACAACTTTAACTAAATTGATAATAAACCTAAAACGTGTATGGCCAAGAGCAAATCAGATAAAGCCCCCAAATAACTCCAATACTAAGCATGATGAATTTGTATGACCTATGCCATTGTGGAGTGAGTGAGTGAGTGAGTGAGTGAGTGAGTGTGATTTTAGCAATATTCCAGCAACATCACAGCAGGGGGACACCAGAAATGGGCTTCACACATTGTACCCATGTGGGGAATCGAACCTGGGTCTTCAGCATGATGAGCGAAAGCTTAACCCCTGGGCTACCCAACAGCCTCATTGTGGCCAAATAATCCCCAACATAACAGGACCACAGTGTCAAGCATCTGGAGTCGGTTACTAAGGATTAATACGACAGCCATTGTGAGCAATGTGGTCCTGTACAGCAGCCTGCATGGTCAACAATACCCATCTATAACAACTGGTTATGAATCAAATCATCACCTGGGAAAAAGGGGTCAAAATTACCAAAATCAATTTTTGTCATCGCCAATCCTACAGAAACAGCCCTGTGACAGCTGAGACTTTCAACAACTTATTGTCAGTGGCATCTGTGACCCTACTCACAGAATTCTTGTGACGTCACATGATGTCTCCGACATGACTACCACAATGTTAACCCTATTAACCCCATGCTGTGCAACTAAAGTACTCACGGAAATGAAAAAAAAAAGTTTTTTCGATCTCAGATTTTAAATAAATGCAGTTAATATATAAACATTCAAACAGCTCAATTAGTACTAATTGGGCCTTGGCACAAATACAGCGTATCAAAGGTTTTATGTCTTTTTACACGTAAAAGTGTGTAAAAATATGAACAAAGCAGACTATTGTGAAACTGAGCATAACCAGGTGTTAATAGATCAAGGTGAATGTCCATGACCTATGACACCTTGACGACAGGTGAAAACAGGTGCTTGAAACCCATGTCCATGTGATTTGTCAGTGGTTAGTGTTTTGTGAGTGGCATTGTGGGATAGTGAATCATCGTCAAAATATCACAATGTAAAAGTAACATATTCCCTTCTCAAACAACAACTTACATGTCATTAGTATTATGTACATAAACATAGCTGTTATTTTTTCCAGGCTAATTTGCATAATGCCTATAGCCTGTTTCTGCCATGTCAATTTGGACTTAGTTTTATTTTTGAATGTTGAACGTGCCTACAAATTACCTCCTGTAAAGTACATTTTGTATTGAGCACTGAGATAAAACTAGCAAATCCAGACTAGTACTTTTCCAGTTGTTTTGTTATTTCGTATTTACATCTACGTAATGCTTTGTGTCAATTATTAAATCCAGCAAAACAGGTTTTTTTCATTTCCATGAGTACTTAAACTGGCCAACTCCTTCTGTAGTGAGTCAATGAAAGTAATAATGTTAACCCTATGTACCCTACGCTGTGCAACTAACTGGTCAACTCCTTCTCTAGCGAGTCAATGAAAGTAATAATGTTAACCCTATGTACCCCATGCTGTGCAACTAACTGGCCAACTCCTTCTGTAGCGAGTCAATGAAAGTAATAATGTTAACCCTATGTACACCATGCTGTGCAACTAACTGGCCAACTCCTTCTCTAGCGAGTCAATGAAAGTAATAATGTTAACCCTATGTACCCCATGCTGTGCAACTAACTGGCCAACTCCTTCTCTAGCGAGTCAATGAAAGTAATAATGTTAACCCTATGTACCCCATGCTGTGCAACTAACTGGCCAACTCCTTCTCTAGCGAGTCAATGAAAGTAATAATGTTAACCCTATGTACCCCATGCTGTGCAACTAACTGGCCAACTCCTTCTCTAGCGAGTCAATGAAAGTAATAATGTTAACCCTATGTACCCCATGCTGTGCAACTAACTGGCCAACTCCTTCTGTAGTGAGTCAATGAAAGTAATAATGTTAACCCTATGTACCCCATGCTGTGCAACTAACTGGCCAACTCCTTCTCTAGCGAGTCAATGAAAGTAATAATGTTAACCCTATGTACACCAAACACAATCTCAAGCGAGTCAAAGAACAAGTCAACTAAGGATTTACCATATGACAAATTTTTGTTTGTCTGAGATTTTGTATCGAGACATCTACAGCTTCATACAAAACTAGATATTTTTAAAAGGAAAACTATCAGCCTAATTATTTTTATTAAAAAAAACCCCTTGCATCCACAATGTAATTTTGACAATGGTAATTCAACCAGTCTGACGCCAAATAATTGTTTTCAAGAATTTTGAGGGATTTTTTTTTCTGTAGCGAGTCAAAGAACAGGTGCAACTTACTGGCAGTAAATATGGCAAACACCATCTGTAGCGAGTCAAAGAACAGGAACATGATGAGCAGCGAGGCAGAAGCTCCGAGCGGCAGGAACATGGCTTGACACGTGTCGATGGTCTGCATCTCTGTTTAGAAACAAACAGGCATATATAAGTGTTTGAATAACTAAATGTCGTTTAACACAGCCAGCAGTATTTCAGTATATGACAGCAGCGGACAATCAAGCTTGGACCAGACAAACCGCTGCTCGATATCATGATTGCTTGTTAGTTGTTTGACATTAGTCCGCAATATTCAGCTGTTTTACGGAACACCTCAAGGACAAAACAAAGTCAGAGCCAGACAACCAGTGACTGACAGTATGAGCAAGGTACCCTCGTGTGCGATGACACATCGGCCAGATGATTATATTAAATATAAACAAGAATAGCATTTTAATTTGACAATTAATTTTTTTAATGTGGTCTAAACATGCAAAATGGAGCAAACCTTTTTTCAGCCCCCACTGATCACCCCCACAGCTTCCAAAAACTGCATGTTTAGACCATAGATAAACTGTATATTTTTTATATTTTACAATACAATATATTGAAACAATTATTTTCTCTTCAGAAATGCATTGTCTTCATTAAGGCCAAATACGGTACCACAACTTCACAACTGGTTTGGCCCATGCATGTGCAGATGCGTGACAAGTAACCGTCAAGGTGATGGACTGGGTACTTAAAATACATGCTGCACGCAAACAGTGGTTTGGCCCATGCATGTGCAGATGCATGACAAGTAACTGTCAATGTGGGTATAAAATGGTTCATTCCAGATGCAACTGAACTGCACTCAAGGAAATTGAAAATCTGACGTTATTAAATAACTTTTATCTCTTATTATCTATGTGATCACTCAATAATGACACTGTGTATATGTAACAGAACTCCTATCCAACAAATGTGACAAGTAACATGACTAACTTATTCATTCCCCAATATATTTAACACAAATCAATAAACTTTGTATCCCATTCCTGCAACAACAAAGCACATGTTAGAGCCATCAATTTCATGGAGAGTAATACCAAGATTCAAAGCCCAGGACAAACAAGGTTTCCCTCTACAATAATTGCTTTGAAGTCTGGACTACCTGTGTCCCCATGGCAACCAGTGTTGTTAAGGAGGGTTGAAAGGGGTGATGTGAGGTTCACTTACGACTTTCTGCCTCCACCCCATTTGGCTGATTGACATAGCAGCCATTCTTGTCTTTTTCCTTTTCCTTTTCTTTATTTTCCTTCTCTAAGTTGAGCGACCTGAAGAAAAAATATCACAGAGATGAACACGCAACCATGTTAACATCTCGGTCAATGCAGGTAAAATAGTTTAATACAGGTGACACCCGCCAAGGGACCCTCATGATAAACTAGATGCAAAATAAATTTGACTTATGTGTGATTCTAATATTGCTGGGGGAGACAGAATATTTTTCCGTCTTGGTTTCAAGTCATAAACTTACTTTGGACCCACAACTAATTTTTTTCAGGATCTAAAAAAAATTTGTTTATGGATCATGTTAAATAGTCAGTATTATTAGACCAGTCTAAAATGGTTCATGACTATAAAACAACAGGGAAAATATGCCATGAGAGAAATGAGAACAGACACAGAGTGAGTGAGTGCGTGAGTATGGTTTTACGCCGCTTTTAGCAATATTCCAGCAATATCACGGCGGGGGTCACCAGAAATGGGCTTCACACATTGTACCCATGTTGGTAATCAAACCCGGGTCTTCGGCGTGACGAGTGAACGCTTTAACCACTAGGCTACCCGACCGTCCCGAACAGACACAGAGCGAGTGAGCGAGTGAGTGAGTGGGGTTTTTATGCCACTTTTAGCAACATTCCTGCAATATCACGGCAGTGAACACAAAAAATAAGCTTCACACATGGTACCCATCTGGAAAATCGAACCTGGTCTTTGGTGTGACGAACACTTTAACCACTAGGCTACCCCACCGCCCAAACAGACACAAAAACACACTCAACTATGTAATAGTTAAAGTGAAAGAAGTACTTTCACTTTTATTACATAGTTGAGTTCTTTCAAAGAAGACACAATTTCTCCACACGACAATAGTTAATTTGGCATGGCATGATATGACTGATTAATTATAGTCAATGAAAAATATTGGTTTGTTAGGATAAAAAAAAGAGAGTCTTGGTACTCAGGCACTGCCGAAATCAACATAAAGTTCACCGCACACATCGTTTTTATTTCCCTTTAAATTTTATTTTTTTTAAATCCTTAAATAGTCCAAGTCCAATGGTAGTCAAATTCTGTATTCCAGTATTTTAATCATCAAGGAATATATTTATTTAGGGAGGCCCTTTCCCAGGTTGGTTGTAAAAAACTGTTTATTTGGTTACACACACTATATTTTAAAAAACCCATTGCCTGACAACTAATTCTTTTATTTTTTTTAAGCCTTATCTTCTTTTGAGTAGTAAATATCATTTAAAATAGTAATATATGCCTCATAACTTCATTCTCCGGAAAAAAAAAAGGCAGCACTCATCAGTTGTTGACCTACCCACAAAATTGAAATGAAATATTCATAGACTATCCAGACTATCAATCACTGAATCTAGCACTCAAGGACAGAGAGAGCACGTGGTGAGTGACCAGTGTCAAGGCAGGACAGCCTCCTATCCACAACCTGTGAAATCGCTTTCACATGTGCTGCTGGCAAAGTAATTAGTGACATGCACAGTGATTAAGCTGAACCCTACATCTACTCAGATCTCCGTGTAAACACCATGTGACCCCTGTCAATGGCTGACATCAATCAGGTAGATTCCCTGCATCAATAGCCAGCTGCCCTTGGTGATGTAAGACATGGGTTAAACTCATTCAGCGTGTTTATCAGTCTCGGGGTCGGGACGTTTTATCTTGTTCATCTTCAATGTAGTACACTTTGATTACTCAATACTGGTAGACGTAGATTCCTAGGATTCCACCGTGCTTAAAGGGTTAAGATCATACACTCGGGAGAAGGGGAAAAGGATTCCACAGTGATTAAAGGGTTAAGATCATACAATTTTATGGATAACAACTTTTTTAATACTGTAAAAAGCGACATTTCGGTATAGATCCTTATACCGTAGTCAAGCAGGACTGAACGAGGGACATAGTACAGTATATAAATAGTAGGGAGGATTAACAATAGAAGATGCATACTTGAGTTTTATCCTTCTGTTGTCAACATTTACTCTGTTATCCCACTCTTGTATGCAATTGTTGTTACTGTTAATCCTCTACCGTTAATCCTCCACCCACTATATATATTCTGTACTTTGTCATCATTCCCCGTGTGCGACATACGCTTGCAGTCGGGAAGCGCACGTTAAATCTCCAATATAAGTAAGTAAGAAGTCCTTCATTCAATCCTGCTTGACAACGGTATAAGGATCTATACCGAAACGTCGCTTTTTACAGTATTAAAGAAGTTGTTATCCATAGAATTGTGTCTACCTTGTCACCTATCAACTACTAAGTAATGCCTATCAAACGAGATCATACACTCTGGAGAAGGGGAACAGGACTCCACAGTGCTTAAAGGGTTAAGATCATGCACTCGGGAGTACACACACGTTCGAGGCAGACCAACCAAGTCAGCAAACCTGTATTAGTTACATGGCAGTCATATAGCTTGAACACTGCAGAGTGATGTTAAACACAAAACATTCAAACTCAGTTTTGACCTAAGTAGTACCCCGCTAGCCACTAACCTCCCACACTTTTACCTAAATACTGTAGAACATGGATATAACGAACTGCAAGGGACCGGAGAAATCAGTTTGTTATATTCGTTGTTCGTTATACACGTTTTCACTCGGAAACGTCTGCCATCTTGGCTAAAACAAAATACAATACACATACACGTTTCCTCACGCATCTACCAGTGATTCAGTTAAAAAGTACCAACATTTTAATGCAATGGTCGGACGAATTTGTATCTGAAGTCATTATTTGATCAGAATTAAGATTAACATAATGCAAGTTTAACTAGGTTGAATTGTCATCAGTAATTGTGTTGATTCGCGTCTGATTGAGTACAGTCAATTGTCAGTGACACTTGACACTGAGTGAGATTTCTCAGTTCGCTATACACGTCACTAATTAGTGGTAGATGGGCTTGTCGGTGATCAGACATCACTTCGCTATATCTGTTAGTTCGCTGTAGCTAGTTCGTTATATACATAAATTATATATGGATATATAGGAGATAAATCAGGGATGTTTTAACAGTTCGTTGTATCCGTTTGTTCGCTCTATCCGTGTTCGTTATATCCGTGTTCTACTGTACTGTGAAAGATCTCTCTTATTGTGTACACATCAAGACCTGAGTTAACTCATTTGACAGTGTGGTGAGGACACAAGGAACACTATTCCCTGAAACATATTTCAACATACAATAACAGTTTCAAACTTCATTTCCACATTAAAAGCTGTAAAACAGGAATCATGTTTCAGTTCGTGACAGACCAAAAAACACTTCGCTTTACCTGAATGGCAATTCGTAATACCGAACACAAGCAGAAATGATCTTTCTTCTCTTTAACAGATAAGCTGACCTAGCTAAAACAAGCTTACAAAAAGGATCCCTTATAAGCTTTTAGTAAACACCTGTTTGTGACAACCGCATACATGTATAGCTATTAACCTGCTGGGAGACTAAGTTCCCACCAACTAGCTACAGACAGACCCTTTTCTCACAAAGAAACACCTGCACAATAACTGAGAAGGTTCCCCTGTCAACAGGTTCTCAGCGTCGGATACACGGAATCCTCACACTTGTTAAGGGATCTCTAAACTCAACTGTCATTTCTTTTCAGGTTCACTGACTTGGCTGATGCACTGTCATCATATCCCAATTGTGTAGATCGTTGCTCATGAAGTCAATCACTGGATTGATGGTCCAGACTTGATTACTTACAGATCACAGTCATATAACTGGAATATTGCCGAGTGCTGCTTTAAACAACACACAAACAAACAAACTCCTTCCCGTCAAAATAACTCATTATTGGGCATTTCAGTATCGTGTTGTTAATCCTCGAGACTTGCCAAAGCCGTCATTCATTTCATGTCCATGATTATACGTGCTAAAACTATGTAAATATTTGTGTGGTTATTTTTTATTACATGTGCCAACGGTAAATATTCTGAACAAGGAGACAGAGATACCTGCCCCTTAAACTTCTAAAACAATATCTGACATGTCCTCTTTAGAACGATGTTATGCTTAAAAAAACCTTTTTGTTTACTTGTTAAACATCATCAAATATAAATAAAAATACATGCCAAATTAGCCTCTAGTCAGCATCATAAATGGATAACAGAGAATGTTTCCGGTCGAAATTCTCAAAGCATGTCAAGTGAAAGAGCAAATGAGAATGACAGTCAGCAATAATACAGCTTTCATTTCTTTTGGTTTATTTGTAAGTAGGGGTGACTATTGTCTGGAAATAACTATTGCGATAACTATAGATATTGAAAGAAACTTTTGTGATAACTATTGATATTGCAAGCAACTCTTGCCATAAATAATAATAATTTAAGAAAAAGAAACTTCCACAGTACCATGTGTAAATTACTACCACTCATGATAAAAAGAAAACAAATCTGAACAGCATTGCATGTATTTTAATGATATGGTAAATACAATCGAAACTATCGTTATTCCTAACTGAAATCAATACTATTGATCGGAAACTGATTCAACAATCGATTTATTGACTTTAAGCGCTTACCAATAGCAATGTAACGATATTTTGATTTATCGTGACACCCCTATTCGTAAGATTGACAATTCACACAATTTTCCACATTTTCACAATGGATAATATTATCAATGACACTGGTTATATAGAGAATGATAATCATGATAATGGCTACCGGTAATAATGGTTTATCATGTTCATAAAGAGAATAACAATGGTAATATTATCACTGTTGTACAATGACAATGCATTGCATACAGAACAATGGGTAATATCACCAATGACAATGGTTTATATCTAGAAGACCCTACTCATACACTTGAACTTACAGCATTCATTCATGATGGCAAGATTACACGTAAGTCACCCCAAGGCTCTGGCTTTACAACATAAATCCCTCAACAGATAATCCTGAAGCCGAACTGTGTTGTTTCTTGTCTTATAATCGCAGGAGTGTGAAAATACCGCACAGACAGGTCTAACCTCATGTACTTCAGTCAGAGCATATTACAGAAAGTGACATTCACCTGGAGTGAGTGACTGAGTTATGTTTAACGCCGCTTTTAACAGTATTCCAGTCATATCACGGCATGTCAGCTTAATGTGGGAGGAAAGCCCGAAGTGAAGCAGGTCTCAGACGTTTACCACTTCGGTGAAACCCACAAGCACGGGTATGGTGCTGACAAACCTAGAAACATAATCGGGGCAAACGGTGATTTGAACCCACAATCATAGGCGTCTGGCATGCCTAAGGGACGCAACTCCGCACAGCAAATTACACGCTCCTGGAAATATCGCAATCATGTATGTTTGGAGGACACATAACCATGATAACAGCATTTGTATGCACTAGTGGACAGATTTGTTTACTTCTACATGAGGTAAAGGAAACATAATGTTATTTTAGGACTAGGTTTCAAACACATCATGTGAAGCAGTGTTTTAAAATACCCACCTGTCCAACAGTCCGAGAGTCTATTTTGCTGACTAATGGTCAGTTTTGAAAAGTTGCACGCCCGATGGTCGGGGGTTAAACTTATTAAGTTGACAATCCACCAGTTTGTTATTTTCTGAGAATTAATATTAACCTGTACGATTCTTATGTTTATCCTTTTGTTACATTTGATCCTTAGACTAGAAAATACTGGACTAGCAACATTTTATCTGGTCTAGTAACGCTGCAATGTTGCCAGTCAGGTCGTCTGACTGAAATTTTTGGGAATTTTATACACAGCATGATATTAAGAGCACTAATCCTTCAGAGGTTATGAAAGTGTCAAGCGGCTGTTAAATTCTATTATTACTTGCCCATGAAGAGATCACCGGTTTAATAAACATACAGCTGTAATACACATTGTGTAATACCACCACACAGGCGTATATCTTACTGCAAACATTCATTTCAGATTCTAAAGCTGCAAAGATACATTCGTACAATGTACATAAACATTAAAAAGCTCTCACCAGACAGAAAATTATCATGTTTACATTTTAACAGTTCATTTAACACCTTTCAAATACAACATGTTCGATTAACACAAAACACTTCTGCCATACATCCATATAAACACACAAGGTTTATTATCTACCTGTGTTTAAAACTCATCTAGGCTGCACAAACAGGAATTGATCAAGTAGACAAACACAACACATTGTCCATAATGAATGCCTGGCACAGCGCAGGATATAAAGCCTTACCGTGCTTACCAGCACAGTGTTGGATAAATGATTTAACAGATAGCATGGATTTAATGGTGACTTGCGGTTGGCTTCGCAATGTGGTATAAATAATGTATTCACCAGCACTGTGTTAAAGGTTGATTGGCACTGCGTGACATAAATGATTCACTATTCAGAGTAGTAAATGAGACGGTGCTGATACATGAGCTCCATCAGTAAGTACATATTGGTGACACGTTGCTGTATAACCTTGGTGCGTGAAAGCAGATGTTACCTCATATCAAACAAAACATTGTTGTCACAAGGCCAAAAAAGTTAACACAGCATGTGAAACCAGCTTATCTGGTTTGTGCACCTTTTGTATCTTCAATCTCTGGTACATCACGTGCAGTCAAGCCATGTCAAACTTTGATGTGACGAATGTACGCTTGTCAATAATAAAAATCTTGGTTCCTGCGACACTGGCGACATGTGACATACCCTGTAGCAGACACCTTCAGTACTGTACGGAATTTGAGCATGGTCTATATGAGATCATAGTCAAAACGAGATCATGGTTTATATGTAATCATGGAATATATGAGATCATGGTATATACAAGATCATGGTACATACGAGATCATGCTAGATATGAGATCATGCTATAGACAAGATCATGGTCTTCATGAGATAATAGTCTATACAAGATCATTATTTATACGAGATCATGGTATATATGAGATCATGGTCTATCCGAGATCATGGTACATACTAGATCATGGCAGATACGAGATCACGGTATATACGAGATCACGGCATATACAAGATCACAGTATATACAAGATCATGGCATATACAAGATCATGGCATATACAAGATCATGGTATATACAAGATCATGGCATATACGAGATCAAGGCATATACGAGTTCATGGTATATACAAGATCATGGCATATACAAGATCATGGTTTATACAAGATCATGGCATATACAAGATCATGGCATATACGAGATCATGGTACAATGATCGCTCGCTATTGCGCTCTTCGATAAAGCGCTACTTCGGTTATTACGCGCGGTAACGCATGGCTCCCAAAATTTATGTACACTTTTAATACTGAGAGTTTTACACAGACATTATTGTATTGTTGTTCGTTGTTTATTTGCACATAACGCTTCTCATTGCATAATCAACGGTTTATCGCTGAATGGAGTTCTAATAATCTGTTTGAAAACATCCGCGGCAGGTCCCGGAAATACGATTGTTCTACTAGTTAACTTTTCACACTATACATCCTTTGATCTTAGAAGCGCATGCATGCAATAAAAGAGAACCACAAGTGAAGTTTATATTCTTAATTAGTGGGCAATCCAATTTAAGGCTAAACTGTCACACACATGTAGTTGCTGTCACAACACGGCGGTCATTCATTTCGTAATCGCGCTTTCGTAACATCGCCTGTTTTTTCCCCGTAGTTATAACAAGCGATTTTATTGGATTAAAATTTGTTTCTAATGACGCTTTCTTGCCGAAATCTGCTACAAGTTTCGTGATTGGTCAATTTTGAGCACGTGACCTCAGGCAGCCAATCAAGCTGTGATACAAAGCTCGTGTTTGATAAATTTCAGAAGTTAGCGAAAGATTTTTTGTTAAATCGTGTTATTCTGAACGTTTTAAGCAGGAAATCACGATATATATTAAAAATATGGAACTTTGCGAATGTATCGTGCTAGGTTACGAGCTGTGACAAAGATTTTTCATGCATATATTTTTGCATTAAACCTTGTGTCCGAGCCAAGAATTCAAGGCGACGAAAGCCGAGATGTCATTTGACTTACATTACACGCGATCGCACGAAACGATGGAAATAATAACTTAGATGTAAGTTTGATTACTTTTAGATATATTTTTGTTGATTTTATTTATCACTTTGTATAATATATTTAAAGATTTGCTTAAAATAGTCATTATTTTGCTCTTTGACATGTTCGATGCGGACCCGTTGTCGAAATGTGTGTCCGAGAATTTTATTTTCAATAACATCGCGGGAAATAGTGAATAATTTTTTAATTTATTGATAAAAAATGATAAATTAGAATGGAATACGTATTTCAGACATTGTGAAATATGACAGATTTAATAAATGAATGATATTACAGGTAGATCTAGGTCCATAAAAATATATACTATTTTGACGTGACGTGAGATAAACACATAGGCCTATTGATGATTTGAGATTTGCCGAGCGCGCTCCCCCGCCTCGGCCTCGGTTAAACGGCTCATCGTCTATAACGCCCACCAATTATTTGGACCCCATTGGTAGCGCAATAGCGAGCGATCACTGTATATACAAGATCATGGCATATGAAGATCATGGTATATACGAGATCATGGTACATCATCATCATCATCATCATAATAATTTCCTACCTGAAACTGCCATAGACGATGAGTAGTATGGAGATGACAAATGTTGAGAGGCGGGACGTATCCACAATTGAAAAGGCACTGCAACAAATGAACAAATATAATTAATCGTCAACAACCACTTTTTAAATCTGTCAGGCATATTGATATTTGGGGTAATTAAGAAACACCTCATTTCAATTCTTCTTTGAAACAAATGTTATAGCTGACGTTACCGATTCAATACATTGTTACACTAAAAAAGCAATCATGATGTAGTGAGTGAGTGAGTGAGTGAGTATGGTTTTACGCCGCTTTTAGCAATATTCCAGCAATATCACGGCGGGGGACACCAGAAATGGGCTTCACACATTGTACCCATGTCGGGAATCGAACCCGGGTCTTCGGCGTGACGAGCGAACGCTTTAACCACTAGGCTACCCGACCGCCCCCAATCATGATGTAAATGGTACACTTCTCTAAACAAGTTAAAGAACACCCATACTTAGAAGGCTGTGTTGCAATACCCACCAGCGATGACTTTAGTTACATGAAAACAATCAGGTGTTCATCAGCTTGTTTTGAGTAGTGCCAACTCTAAGGACAGAATGACTGAACATCCACCGATGTATCGTTCAGTACAGACTTGGAGCAAGGCTAATCAGCTCCACCAAGCTAGAGTTCAGCTGTTTGTTTATAGTAAGATGAGACCTGTGAATTGGGGAGTGGACATTGGCATGTCTGCTGACCATGGGCTAGTGACTGCTGATGAACTGATGACAGTTTTATTACTAACCAAGATCCTTTTGGATAGCAGCATTCCTTGCGAAATGCACAGGAGTAAGTAAAGATATACTCCAGAGATTGTTAAGCTAGGTTTTTTTTCTGGTAACTATATTAGAAAGACACCAAACATGGAACACCATTCTGATGAAAACAAGGGTCTCCACTGTCTAAAGATATTTATATACAAAATCAATATAGCTCACAGTCATCAGGACCAACAAAATAGGCGGCAGTCCAAACGTTGTCATGGAAACAACAATATTCCAGTCAGTACACAGGCTGTTGGCAACACAATAACATGGACCACTGCCTTATATTTCAAATGGAGCATTGACCAGAAGTTTACACCTTCAAGCAATTAGCCAAACAAATATCCTATATAAATAAAAGGCCAAGTTTTCAAATTTTTAACATTTCCTGACTTTGCTGTTCCTTCAAGGATGTGACGGAAGACGTTTGTTTAAATAGGGTTTTAGTTTGTTTGTAGTGGTAAAGGGTGAGTATCAAGAGTTGGATGTGTTGCATGGGCGGATACAGAGGGGGGGGGGGGGTGTGCACCCCCCCTTTTTATTTCGAAAAAAATTCTTTATTTCTGTATAAATTACCACCAAGACAATAAATAGATCTTAATTGTGCACCCCCCCTTTTCAAAAAAGCTGTATCCGCCCATGTGTTGTATCTGTATTTGTTCAGCTCGACACCGAAAGGACGAAAATCAATCATATTAAACTTGATCATAACTGTCTTAAATGGCTAACAGCAGAATCATTATTCATTATGAAAAATATGTCCTCATTGTCATATGAATTGGATGTCCTGTAGCAGGGATTCATGTAGTCGTGCTCAGAGGTTGATATTTGGCCTTAAGTCTGCAGCAATTGACAGTAAACACTCCCAATTTGAATTTAAAAAATCCTAAAAATTTACAAAAATAAGAACACAAAACAAAACAACTATTTCCCACTAATTCTCCCAATTTGCTTGCCAAGGGAGTTAATAGTCAGGAATTCTAGATACAGCTCTGTGTACACGGAACTTGTTAAAACTCAAAAGGCTGCCAATCATGCTGATAGCTCACCTAATTATTCGAAACCAAAGAAATCATTTGTTGAATCAGATCATGATAACTCTTTTGGATAATACATATTCATTTGTTTACAAAAGAAAAAATTTATGATAATTTTGTTTTTCATATAAAATGTCAATTAAACATATAGTTCCATAAATATTCTTTCTACATATTTTGTTTCCAAAAGAAGTCAGGCAAATGACAATGATAATTATTTAAGACCCTAAATGTAAACTAGGGCCACAAGGGACTAGTCATTTATTACAGGTGTGGAAGGGTCAGAGATTTTTAATGTACTGAAGTACTGAAAGTAATGACCATCCCCTAATGCTGGTCATCATTTTGGATGACCCTCCCCATGTCCTTGCACACTTTTTTCATGACCCTTTCTCTAAAGACAAATTGTAACAACAATTTCATATTTAAGTATATAATATCTATTTGTTCACGATCCTCCTAAAAAATGTATACATTTTTGGTGACCTCCCCATTCCCTCTGAAACCCCAACCCCAATAATAACTTACCGATCCCTAAGAAAAATCAAATATGGACGTCTGATGTTTAAACAAAACTATGCATATCTGATATATAGCTCGAAAAATATACAGTTTATCACATCAGAGCAAAAACATCATTTCAACACATGATAGTGGACAGCTCCATTCCAACAACGACCGCCCGGAGAGCGGAAGGTCCGGTGTTCGATCCCCGACCACGTCATACCAAAAGATGTTGAAAGATGATACTTGTTGTTACCCTGTCTGGCGCTCGGTATTAAGGGGCTAAAACAAGGACTGGTCGGCTCGGAGTCAGTATAATGTGTCTGAGTGGGGTATTCATGTTAAACTGCGGCATGGTATCTCAGTGTGCTAGCACTATAAATCGGCATCAGTTTGGACTAGTACAAGCAGCCACACACATACACGTGCATGCACGTCGCTATATAAGTGCAATAATCTTGGACGCGACGTTAAACCACATTTCACCTCACCTCACCCCATTCCAACAGCTACTTCTGTAGTGCAAGACTCAATGGGCCTCAGCTAAGCCAGCACAACAGACACAAGCTAGCCTGGGCAAAATGATAAACAGGTTTCCTGTTTTCTACTCCCGCCAAACAGACTCATAAATCTCCAGAGAGCTATGCAGATTTACCACACGACCTTTTGAATATGATCATGCCGAAAGCAAGTCATTATATTATGCAAATATTATGCTTATGTCTCTCAATGTTGAAAATATTACAAGGACAATGTGATGTCGTTTGATTATGTCAGATTGTCTGGTTATACAATCCAACAGTGGCAATTAAACAGCCTCATAAATTTCCCAAGAGCTGAGCACATTAATCACCGGACCGTTTTAATATGATCATGCAGATAGCAACTCACTCTATGTAGTATCCAAATTTAACGCCTATGTCTCTCGACATGCTCAATGTTGAAAATAATAAATGGATGCCATTGACAAATGGATCTTGTGCTTATTATTAACATCTAAACTTTTCAAGTGATTTTGAAGACTGTTGATGAACGTTATGATAAAAGTCTCACAGAGCAATTCGTATAGTTAAAGACAATATTTCTCTTTGCTTTTTTTGTTCATTTTGTTTGTTTGTTTGTTGTTTAACACCGCACTCAGCAATATTACTGCTATAATGATGGCAGTTTGTAAATAATCGAGTCTGGACCAGACAATCCAGTGATTAATATCATGAGCATCGATCCACGCAGTTGGGATACGATGACATGCATCAACCAAGTCAGCGAGCCTGACCACCCGATCCTGTAAGTCACCTCTTACAACGAGCATTTACGGCAAGCATGGGTTGCTGAAGACCTATTCTACCCCGGATCTTAATTTTTTGCTCATTTTAAAATTTTACTGAACAATGTCTCAAGAACATGAACATGTAGTTTGATTGCATTGAGATTTATTATTGTAATCAATTGTTATTTTGAATGAAATGGATGATTCAAACGTTCAGATGTCGAAAACCAGCTGCCACTTCTGAAGTACAATCGTGGCTTAAACCTGTCAATCATGAGGGTCTGCAGGATGATAATCCAGCATGATAATAAGATAATAAATATTACAGAACATAACACATGCATCATAAAATGTAACCTTTCATTTTCACTTTTAATTCAATTCAATTTGCAAACTTGGTTTGAAATGAACAATTCAACAATGTTAAGAAATTAATCCTAACTGAATACAAGCATTGCAAATTTCTAAATATGTGAAATGTGTGTCCCTTGCAACCCTCGATGACATCACTGCAATTAACATTTCAAACCCAACCCTGGTTCAACTATTTATTGACAGAATGCCACAAACTCATATACAACCACACAAAGCTTCAAAGAGCCCCCGCCTCACATTAAAGCATTATATTTGGTTGAATTATTTCGACCTTATCGTGATGTCTCATAGAACTGAATTAAGCATGAAATATTACCTTAATGCAAACTAGGGATTTAAATATCTCTTTCTTTCATTCATTAATCTTCATTTATCATTTCCATCATTCTAAATTCAATTAAATCCAATTCAGCTCATGGAATCAGGACACTATGCAACTGAGACTCTTAGTCCAGACTCCAATGTATACAGCAGCCATGATATAGCATGTGCTAAATATTCGATTTGGGAAGAATTTTGCTCCCACTGTGGGTGAAGAACTATGTTCAGTGAACAGTGAACCATGAACTGTAAATATGCTATGTCTATAACACATGAATATTGCCAACTGTGGAATAACAACAAACAAAACAATGTACAGACATGTTAAAGATTTGACAGGGCATATTCATTTATAACACCCGGCTACAGGTCCATGTAACTCAGAGGCTGCCATCATATTCTGCATATGCATGGAATATTAGAGTGTGTCGTTAATACAAAAAAATCTCAATGTGAGACATGTTGTTGATTTTAAAATTTGGTGCTCACAATAAAAAAGATAATAATTTGGCTGACCCAAAGATCTGCATTGACCCCTTCCCCTCCCCCTCCCAGCTAAGGGACACAACTCTGTACAGCATGACAATAGGTGAACTGGTTGTTCTAGTGTTACTGGGAACCTACAGACATTTTTTGTTTGTTAGTTGCTTAACTCCGTATTGAGAGGCATTCCAGCAATATAACAGCACTCTGTAAATAATCGAGTCTGGACCAGACAATCCAGTGATTGTCACCAAGAGCATTGATCTAAGCAATTGGGACACGATGACATGCATCAACCTAGTCAGGGATCCTGATCACCCGATCCCATTAGTTACCTCTTACGAAAAGCGTGGGTTGCTGAAGATTAATTCTAACCTGAATTTTCACAGGTTGACATGACATGGGGCACAGTGCACTTTCACAAGGGATCTATGCCGTTAGTAAATATAAGGCCACATTGTATAAGGTCTTTGTCGGTAAATTTGCTTCAGCCTGTACTCAAAATTTATTTTTTAGATGAATGCCCTGCACATAATTGAGTTGGAAATAGCAATCAGCATTTGTGTGTGTACATCTGCAAGCAGTTCATATTTCAAAAACACAATCATCAAGACCTACCAATTTAAAAACAGCGTTAGAAACAATCATTTTCAGTCCATTAGTCCTTATGACAACATCTAGCAAATCCCTTAAAAATGGCACATTTCTACTAGTGCTTATGATACCTTAATTATTGGGCAGATTGGCAAGAGCTATAGGACCAGTGCCAGTTTCTATCACTGAACAGTACATACAACTGGGTCACATTGCCCAAAACAGGTAATTTTTAATGATGGCCCATCTGATGTTTCACAAGGAGGCCTTGTTTATGGCTTTCACGATTCCCGAAATAAGTGACAACCACCATTGTTTATGATGGTTTATCAGCCCTGATATTGTCATGGGACCTGGTTCATTAATCCTAGGAACAAACTTGGCCCACACATGCTTCTGAGCAAATCTGGTTGTCAATTATTTTCACAGACCATGGTTATGTGAGACGGTCACTCATAATTATTTCAAACAAACTTGAAGCTCTTGGTAGTTTTCTTATAGAACCAAGAGCATACAGTTATCACTATTCCACTAAAGCTCTTGGTTATCACAGAAGAATGCAAAGCCACAACTTTAAACCATATAGAGCTTATCAGATATTGTTAAACTTTCTCCTCCCATTGAGTGTGTTTGCCCGGTATTATGCTGTTTTTTTCTAAAATAACAAGCCTTCTACACATATTGAACAAAAAAAAGCTAAGGATTATGAATTTTGGGTGGACATTTTTCGTAGAAAAGACAATACACAATTTCATGAACATATCTCCAAACAAATTTCATGACACCAGAAATGGGCTTCACACATAGCATACATGTGGGGAATCAAACCCATGTCTACCATGTAAAGAGCCAACACTTTAACCACTTGGCTACCCCACTGTGGGATAGGTTCAACTTACTGTTTTGTTGGGGAAGAATTTTACATGATAGCATTAACTATGCGCTTTGTTTGTTTGTTTGTTTGTTTGTTTGAGTGTTCTTTAACTCCGCACTCAGCAATATGCCAGTTATATGACAGCAGCTGTTAATAATTGAGTCTGGACCAGACAATCCAGAGATTGACATCATGAGAATTGATCCACACAATTGGGATACAATGACATGCATCAACCAAGTCAGCGAGACTGACCACCCTATTCCGTTTGGCGCCTCACACGACAAGCATAGTCGCCACTTAAGACAAGCATGGGTTGCTGAAGACCTATTCTAACCCGGATCTTCATGGATCTTAAAGGGCAAGTTCACACGGAAATGAACCAATTTTTCTTGTACTTTTTCCACATTAAAAGTGTTAACATAGAAGTGTCATAGACAAAAATATAAAAACATCATATTTAATTAACATATTTTTTGCATTAAAACGATTTATATTTTTCACATTAACCAAGTGTTCTATTTCCATAACAAAAACACCATGGCTTATGCCCCTTGCAATATGACGTCATTGGTGCCAATTGATAAACATTATGACGTCATCATGCTTCGTTAGAGCCGCTTCACGTGGTGTAGGTACAGTTTTGTGATTCTAGCGTCTCAGATGCCAGCCAGAATTTTGTTATGCTGACTCACCACTGCGCCGGAGTGTGTCGTAGACCATGTTGTTTTACCGCAAACTGGTCCTTGATATCTTTTGCGTTGAGAATAGACAGGGACCCGGTTGAATTGGCACCAATTACGTCATAATCTAAGGGGGATAACTCAGGCCTATTTCGCTCGTAAAACGGAGGCCTCATAACGGCATATTATTTTAACACTATTGTGAGCTTCCTACTTTCACTGTGAAAAAAATGAGTGTATATTTTCAAACACAGATACTAACTAATTCTAAAATTGCGTTTTGTTTAGAAAAAGAAAGAAAGTGATTTTTGCGTGTACACTTCCCCTTTAAGACAAGCATGGGTTGCTGAAGACCTATTCTAACCTGGATCTTCATGGATGTTAACGATGTGCAACTTACGATATTGTGGCTGCCTCTGTCAACTGTTCTTCACCCATGTTGGTAGACACCACCTCCTGCAAAACACAGATTCACATATATCAATGTCAGGGCATTCTACAGAACATGTATATGGACAATGTATTTATCATCCAAAACTGGCTCCCACAGGAGATATCGCTTGGATGAGATCAAGCAATATCTACACTGTAGATATCGCTTTTGCGATATCTACACCGTAGATATTGCTGCAATGAAATGACATCACAATGCTTTGCAGACCATTGTGACGTCACTGGTTACCATGATGTCACAATCAAATGACATCACTAATGGCTCTGCTACTGAAGCTGTTTGCAGTACTTTTTACACTGAAGACACTGCTAATTACTGTCTACAAATTGAAAAAATTGAAAGAATGATGTTGGCTGATAAATAAAATCTCACCCACGTGTCTTTTGATATCAAATATATCAACACTCGTTGATAAAAGTGGCAAAAATCCTCGGCAAGCCTCGGGTTTTTCCACTTTTATCAACTCGTGTTGACATATTTGATATCAAAAGACACTCGGGTGAGATTCTCTATGTGTACACACTTTGTAATATTCCAGTTATATCAAGGTGAGGTGAGGTGAAATTGGGTTTAACGTCGCGTCCAAGATTATTGCACTTATATAGCGACGTGCATGCACATGTATGTGTGTGTGTGGCTGCTTGTACTAGTCCAAACTGATGCCGATTTATAGTGCTAGCTCACTGAGATACCATGCCGCAGTTTAACATGGATACCCCACTCAGACACAGTATACTGACTCCGAGCCGACCAGTCCTTGTTTTAGCCCCTTAATGACGAGCGCCAGACAGGGTAACAACAAGTACGATCTTTTAACGTCTTTTTGTATGACGCGGCCCGGGATCGAAACCTGGACCTTCCGCTCTCCGGGCGGACGCTCTACCACAAGACCACGGAGGCGGTCCATTCTACAGAACATGTATATGGACAATGTATGTGTACACCCTTTGTAATATTCCAGTTATATCAAGGACACATATAACGGGTTTGATAAATGAATGAACCATGTCGATACGATCAAGTGGCCAAATCTGATGAAAATCCTACAGGTCTAATCTTGAACATTTGGATTGCCTCCCTTTGTGAACCAGTCTTTGTGTGTGTTGTTATATTGTTAAAGGCCACATTCAGCAATATTCCAGCTATATGACGGTGGCCTGTGTTAGTAATCAGCTCTGATTCGGACAATCCAGTGATTGATATTATGAGCAACGATCCACACTTTCGGGATATGAGTGAGTGCGTGAGTGAGTGAGTAGGGTTTTACGTCGCTTTTAGCAATATTCCAGCAATATCACGGGGGGGACACCAGAAATGGGCTTCACACATTGTACCCATGTCGGGAATCGAACCTGGGTCTTCAGGGTGACGAGCGAGCGCTTTAACCACTAGGCTACCCAACCGCCCCTTTCGGGATATAACATGCAGTTAACCAAGTCACAGAGCCTGACCACTCATTAAATTCAGGTGCCTCTTACCGCATACATAGATTGCGGGGGACCAATTCTAACCCCAAGTCCCCACAAGGTCAGACCTCTGATGTGAATGACCCAATGGAGACACATAAGGCCACTTACTGTAAACAACACAATATTAGTGCTGTTGCCATCTTTTTAACCCTCCTTAAAATCAAATTTGTAATTTGTCTGTTGCCAGGCCAGATGCCAGTCTTATAAAAAGTTAAAGATTAGAGGTTCAACAATCACTATTTAACCACTGTCAAAAACACAACAAAATGGCTTTCATGTTGGCCTACGACATACACCATTTCTTTGCCGAATCTATAAATAGATACACCTCTTAAGACGATACAAAGTGCTATCTCAACATAAGCATTATTAGATAATGGTTACGAAAAAATATAATTTCTTAAAACTAATTGTCCCTAAACCTGGTATCATATGCTAAAAAAAAAAACATATGCAAAAGTTCATAAAAATGAAAACTAATTTGAAAAGTATAATTCTCCATGACTCTTTTTTCAAACTTTAACAAATATTCTAATGTGAAATAACATCTGACTCCAACCACAGGCACAGCTTTAGCACTTAACATGGCAACTCAAAGCTCCAAACTTGTCACTTCCTGGTTACAGTATTTTCATTCTCAAATCACAGGACATAAGCACACATAAGCACAATACGAGATTGGATCAAATCATTGCCACCTTCTTTATCAGTTATAAATAATGCTCTAGCAGCATGCATGGAATGAATACATGTGACTACTCCACGATACACATCACACACACAATAGAAGGGGCTCACAGATCTAGATACACCAAGGTCAAGGCAAGATTATAACCAAGGCTTTGGGCCCGAGACAAGCTCTTGACATGCTAAGCAGACAGGTGTGACTTGACTCTGTAATACTGTATTAAGTCTCAAACAACTGTTGACATACACATTTTTAGATGTGTAAGTTGCATGCGATAGAAAGTCTCAGGTCACAAAGTTTTCTCAGCTGGCTTGGACCATGTGGATTGTTTTAAGCGATCACCGATAGCTTTGTCATGTTGCATAAATTCTGATTTAGAACAAGAAACATGGCATCCTTAGTGTATTATAACTTCAATGTTAATCCTTTTATTATTTCAGTGTATGTATGATTTACAGAATGGAAATAAATTGTTACATTGTCGTGTTCATGACCACAAATTCTCTATAAGCTGAGACAGAAAATCGAGTGCACACTGATCCAATTTGTCTGGGGTAATAATAGTGCGCTTTGAGCATGATATTTAGAATGGAAAAAGCGCAATACAAATGGACTACTACTACTACTACTACTACTATCATTATTATTTTATTTATAATATTATTATTATTATAATTATAATTATAATAATTATTATTATTATTATAATAAAGTGTCTTTTTTCCCCCAGCTTTCTACAGAATATTTCTAAACATCTCTATGAAATTACAGCATAACATTAAAATTCACACTCTGAGAATGTTGTGCATGTCTAGTATTCATAAAATACTTCTGCACATCTTAACATAAGAACACAGCACATGAACACATTTGGATTTCTGACCAATCAATGGCGATACCTATCTCCCAGCTGACACCATTTCCTGCTGCCAACACCAATAGAATTTCCAAAACAACAATTGAACAAACATCTGTGTACCTAGCATTCTCAATAAATCAATTTCTTAAAACATTCATATATGCGCACCGTGCACACACATACACGGTATATATTTCTTCCAAATAAATCAGGCAAGCCTCCTATGTAAAATCATCAGATGAGAGTAGAATGATAAGAGTTGAAAGCACTGGTAGAAGTTACATCGAGGAATCTAGTAGGAAGTGACAAAACAGGACTGGCAACTACCGACTCGGTCATCGCTGGAAATAGCATATCAGCTTGATTGTTTACACTGACGATAGTTATACAAGGTTTTATCTAGACCTGCACAGAGGCCGAGTTTCAGCCCCAAGTCGGCAGCAAATGTCAGTGAAAAGTCCCAAATTGGAACTAAACATTAACCAATTCATGCTGTTACATTTAAAACTAGTGTTACAGCATTGTACGGTGATTTGTATTCACCGATAACAGGACCAATGTAGAGAAAAAGGCTTTCATGCCTAGCTTAACATTATTACCTTGACTACAATGTTAGCATTCAATGTTAAAATAACTCTGAATTTAGGAAATAAGAGCTGTAAATTTTCTTTTGAGCAAAATAACATTTTTTTCAAGTTTGCTTTCCAAGGGCACTTAGTTTGGACTTCTAGAATCCCTATATATAGAATAGTCATATTACCATATGAAGCCGCACAACATTCTCTTAACTGAGGTAACACATAGTTACAAGACACTTTCTCCCTATTGTTACCGGTAAGAATCGACAATGTAATCTATGAAAACTCGACACCTGCCCATCATAAAATGTACAATGAGAAAAAAACTAGTTGGTGAATCTGTCTGTTGAATTAATAACTGCTTGGGAACTAATGTATGTACCACATAGTTTCATATTACATGCCATCAATAAATATACACATATCATTTAGTAACAATACACGACCGCACAACACAGGCACAAAATATTGTGTTGCAGCGATGGTGCAACGCTTTGTTGCAGCTCTGTCTTACATCTAACAAAGAAGACATTATACTGAAAACAAAGAAATCCATATTACTGTCCAGCTGTCCCCAATTATTGATCATATATCCTAACATAAATCAAATTATGTCTAAAAAAACAAGTATGTTCAGTATGAACAAGCCATCTTGTCAACATAGGGATTGTTGCTTCAGGAAAGAACACCTAATGCAAAATAAACGATAAATATATAAATGAGCCATAGGTACAGCAATAAGAAGATACATGTAGGTAATCTATCACGCTACCTTTACAAATCTGCTGTGCTACATTCCTTTAGCCACAACACTGAGAAATGGGTCAATGTAGTCATATGACCAAAACACAGACTGTCAACAGTCGGAGAGTGGGATTCTGTGAATGCACAGTTGCACACAGAATGTTTTTATACATATTCTCACAAATGAACTTACCATGATCTATACTAACAGATCTCACTGAATATATGCGCTGGACGAGAGAGGTATTTCCTGACTTGTAGGTAAACAAAGACCACTGCAGCCCTCCATGTGCTACACAGGCTTGGGATTATGGGTAATCTATATTTAGCTAAAGGTTGAGTCCAATAACTAAAGGGGTGTAGGGTAATAAAAACAAACTTGGTTTCAATAACAAACTCCAGACCATAAATGTGAGGGTTACTTGAACAAAGTATATTTACACTGTTAAGTACTAATGATAAAACTATAAATAAACTACTTCAAAATGTAACATTCTTCAAGTGATGAACATCCTTCCACCCCTTTGAAAATGACATGAACTGGTCTGTAACAGCTGACCTGACTGCACTTCAATTTCTTCCTTTTTGTCTAGTTAATAAATAGGCATGACAAACTATTGATTAATTCATGAATAGAAACATAAGCCCCCCAAAACTGACAAGG